CCAAACTCTGGGGGGGCCCCCCCGTCGCCGGTGTGTGGGCCCCCCCGCCCCGCGCGCCCCCCCGCCCGCCCCCCCCCCCCCCCCCCCCCCCCCCCCCCACCCCGATCGACACCATTTTGCTCACCTGTCCGAGGCTCGGGTTGTAGCAGAAGATGCTCGTCTCGTCGCCGCAGCGACCCCACCCCTGGCCGTACGTCTCCTCGCATGTCATCAGGCCCCTCTTCGCGCTCGCGAGGCCCGTCCGCTGATGGCCTGTCGTTGCTGCCGCAGCGCCGAGCAGCGCTGCGAGCGGGAATATAGCCCTGGGCATCATTGTTGCCGGCGACGTGTGTTAAAACGAGTGACGAAGGGTTGGACCGAGAGATATTTGGAAATATGAAATCTTAATGGATCTGTGGGATAGAAGAAAAAAAACGAGGAGACGACGCTGAGAGAAGACTAATGCTCTTATATTGAGCTGTTCCTGATGGGGACGGCTCACCCTTTCTAGTCCTAGAATGGTAAGGGATATATATAGATGGATAGATATATGGGGAGGCCGTAATCAGTCCGTCAGTCAGTCACTGTGTGCGAGTCTGGCAGACGTGGCGAGGCACGATGTTGTATAGATACATAATTTAGACCCCAGATAGAAGAAAGAATGTATGGGTTCCAGGAGAGTCGGCATTGCCTATGACAACGACCCCCTGCGAACCTTTCCCAGGAGAAGATCCAGGTCACATAAGGGCTGCGGATGTCCCCTCGCAGTCGCCTTGTCTAGGCGATCGGGTATACATTAGATTTTACATAGCTGCACATCTTTTTAGCCCTTAAATCCCGTGATTGCTATAGGCCGTGCGGTATAGAGTCTTGCGTGTCTTGAGAAGGGAGAAAGGGAGGAAGGGAAGGGCGGCGTGGTCGAATAAGGTGGGACAGCATAAAGGAAGACACCATTGATCGTCATCCCGTTTCATGTTTTGGTTTTCTGGGTTCGGCAACGGGGAGACGCGAGGGCGGTCGTTGGAATTCCGATGTCGATAAACATCAATAATAATCGATGAGCTTCTCTTCCCTCCCTCCCTCCCTCCCTCCCTCCTCGGTACTAACCAAGGGGGTCTGAGTGAGCCTTGTGTTGCCGGCTAAAACGTCTTCCTCGTGAGCTACACAGTAGAGGGAAAGATCACGTCTGCCGCTCTCAACCAAGTGCCGCGTGGGAAACCCGATGTCATTTCGGTTATTTCTTCTCTTTTATTTGTTTTCTTTGCGGAGGTTTTCTAGAGAAAAAACACCAAGCAAGCAGGGTTCGACGCGTTCGACGGTGGACCCGCTTGCATCTCGTTTTCGACACGACGTCGGGAGAAAGCGTAAAAGTGGAAACAGTTCCTTTGTTTAGATCTTGGCTGAGTGGCACAGCCTCCCTACCCAAATGCGTACGTTGTACTGCACGGGAGGATGGTTTTGGAACCTTCTGTCGTCAGCACGAAGGGATGGTAGGCTTCACGTCTGCTGGCTGCCAAGGAGGGTTGCCAGTCAAGGGAGAGAGAGGTCAAGATGAATAGATGACGTTCAATCTATTCTAAAACCCCATCTGGCGGCCCTTCTGGCGGCCTCATTGGCGACCTCGGTCCACTGCCACTTTATGGAAATTTTCTGGCTTGAACTCCGTTATTGCGGGCCAAAATGTCCCAGCGCGGCGGCTAAATGGACCCCTACTAAGTTCATCGTGGTCACAATATGTAATCAGCCTTGGCGCCGTCATGACACGATGAAAGATCGGTAGAGCGATGGCGAAGTTAACCGGCGTGCAGTATTGGGCGCAGCAGCCCGGAGACGCTGCGGTGCACCGTTCTGACTTGGGCCTTTCTGACTCATTCCCAACAGGCTGGGCTTGTGGCAGCGTTGCCTAGCGACGCTCATATAGGGATGGCTATTTTTTATGTAACCACTTCGTTAATGAGCGTTAGTCGGGATATGCAAAGTTCCTGAACACCCCGGTACTGCACTCACTGAGCAAGTGCCGATTTCCTGTTGATAAACATCCCGCGCGGGATGATGAAGCCCATTTCATGTGAGGACCGTGTCCTCCTGGGAAGAAAAATCACTGAGCGTGAGTCACAATCTCAGCGTAGACGTCGTCGGGGATCATCTTGATGATGGCTAGCGTTGTGCGCTTGATCTGGTCCGCTTGAAGGGCAGGGAAGGCACGAAGTAGCTTATTAGGACTTTTGAGAAGGATGTCAGTGCCGTGGCTCCAACGTAGGGTGCAAATCAGCAGGGGACTCACCTTGGCGAACTCAGGATCTGTGTCCGTATCATAACCAGCTGCGCGACGATGCACAAGATATTCAGGTGCGGCCCATAGGCGAACAAGAAATCCCACAGCCTGAGGACTTCGGGTAAGGGCGGCGTGCAAGCGCAGAGAGTCAATACCGAGGGGAAGGCGTAAATCTCGGCAGACATGCTCTTTGATAACAAGTAGAGGCTGAGTTTGGGATCGACGATCGCCAGGACTTTGTCAACCAGGGCAAGCCCCCTATGGACACCGTCCATGGCTCCCCGTATGTATCCGGGGCATTCCTGGGTAAGGAGCTGGTGGAAGGCCACGAAGGCTTCTGCCTCGCTCCGTGCGGCGTACAGGAAAGGCGCTGCGAGCACGTTCATGCCCTGGACATATGTGCCGGGATCGGCGGAAATACCGCTCTCCGAACCCTCAGTCGTAAGAGTCAGGGCTCTCGACCGAGTCCTAGACGCCGGTGATGATGTGCTATACGCGTTGCTGCTCCCATTGCCAGTGCTGGGTCGACTCTGTGGCTCCTGCGGTAACGAGTGCCGGCTCCCAGGTGCCGGGCGGCTACCCTTAATGCGTTCCTCTCGTGCATCGTGCAGCCTCCACGCGATCGCATTGAGCAAGCGGATCAGACTGGCCTCGCTGACGCGGCGGCGGAAGAGTGGGTCGGTGGTGAGGGTTCGGAAGGTGTCGTTACGGATCTTGGAATAGGCCGGTGATGCGCCCCGGTGGATCAGCGAGAGGTAAGCATCAGTGTCGAGGACTGGGGCATTGAGGAGAATAAGCCAGACGTATATGCGCAGAGATGACTGCATCACGTTGTCAGCACACTACACTACCCATAATCAGATGCTGCTCTCTGTTGAGTCTCACCATGCCGTCACTATCACTCTTAATACCCTGATCCAGGATCTTGAGTCGCGCACTCTCCAGGGCACCACAAACGTCACCATTCGGTGGCCCATCGCGAAGGAGCCTCTCCAGAGACATGGCATCTGCAGCCAGGGAGCGCTTGCTCAAAGCTGACCGTCTATTAGCCGCCATTGCGTTGAGTGGGTTGACCATTGGCGCATCGCTGTTAGCACGGCCCCGTTGTGGTGATCGATTGATGTTCGCATTCCTTCGGCTAGGAGAGCCTGAGCTCTGTTGCTGACTGTACTGGTGCTGGTGCGGCTGGTGGTGTTGTTGTTGCTGTAGTTGCTGTTGTTGCTGCTGCTGCTGCTGCTGCTGCTGCTGCTGCTGCTGCTGCTGCTGCTGCTGTTGATGCTGCTGCTGCAGTTGTTGCAGCCTCTGCTGGGAGATAAGAGAGGGTTGGTACGCTGCCTTTGCTCCAAGGCTGTGGGCTGATTGAAGTCGTCTCAGTGCGCGGTGAGTACCTGGTGAGGGCGGTGCATGGAGTTGGGTGGTCACTGGAGGAGGGAAGGAGGGGATTGATTCCCTTATTGGGCTCGGCATCTTGGATTCGGTTCAGTTTAGACAATGGGTACAGTTCAAAATAATGAGTTGAGTCGCAGCAACAATCATCAATTGAACGAGAAACAAGATCGGATTCGGCAGGAAGGCGCAAATGTCGTCCCAACCCAGTTTTCGTCCTGTGCCACCTTCCAGTTGTCAGTTGTCGGGTGCTTTTTACCCAACCGTCCGAGCGGGGGGCTGGGCTGGTGGTTGGTGGGCAGTCACCAAGGCGCGTTTTTTCGCGACCACGCGTTTAGTATTTGCCCTCCGTCTGTCACCGGATATGAGAAGTCTGTTTGGGAGTCACTACAAAGTACGAGAGCATTTGGATCGCCATAGATAGCCTCGTGTATCGTTTCTTCCCAAGGGCAACACGCCTCTTAAACGATCTACCCAGAGGCCAGCCAAGAAGCCGATCTACCTGACCCAGACACGCGAAAAGCACGTGACGCAAGTCACATCACGTGCAGGGACGGTAGGTATTTAGATACTTACCTACTTCGGTGGTCCCGTCCGCGTCCTCCGAATTGTTCCAGTCCGATGGTTTTTGGCTCCGCTCCACAGGGCCCCGAAGCTTGAATCAAGGAAAAGACCTACCTCGGTTGGGACCAAGTCAAGAATGACCAGTGGCGCACAAGGCGGATGCAGAACTGCTGATCTTGAGAAACTTGTGGGCCGTGGGGAAGTGAAACCCGGGAAGAATGATGGCAGGTTCACACTTTAAAATCTCGTAACTGTTTGGGACTTTTTGCATGCGACTGAGATCACATCATCGCCCCCCACGATTTCGTCACCAACCCCTTGTCAACTCCGCTAGCCAATAACCTCGTTAGCGTAGCTTATTAATCCCCTCTACGGAGTTATCAGGCATAGTATGGATCTATGTGCCTGGTATATGCCTGGCTCGGGCTTTTGGAGAACTTGTCCCTGTCAGACAGAGATGGGATGGGCGGGTGCATCTCATCAGAGAATAGTTGGAGTGCCGTTCTCATCTTTGTTCTATATCTGGACCCGCCTCGATGAGATGGTGTTTTCTCCTGATCCGTCTTGATTTACCGGATTTGTGTCTTCGAGGAATACCAAGAACCTAGTTGACGCCATTGGCGACTTTACCCGCTTTTCAAGCGGATCGCAAAGTTGAACAACGGCATTCCAGCCAGCCTGCTTAGATCGACTCTGCATCCTGCAAAGTAAGGCAATTGGATCTTCACCACGCTAGGCTCTAAATGGCAAAGCATCGATGGCGCCATTCGCCCTACCCACTCTCTCAGTCAACCACAGCTCACTTCAGCAATGACTGGAAGATTGCCTCAAGTCACTTCGAAGTTTCGAGCTCCCGGTCCCCGATTTTTTGGGGGAAATAGCTCTTAGCCGGTCACTTACATTGGTACCTAGGTAGTCTATATATATATACTGGGACTTGTCTTGCTATGAGTTCTGGAGCCACGAGACAAATTGATTACGTCTTTGCCCTAACTTGACCTTTCTTCATCAGATAGCGATACATTGGTTCTACATTCAACGTCTTACACCCGAGGAATCCCTCTCCTCTCTCTCCCATCCCCCTTTTCCTCTTCAACCATCTGTCCTTCTGACTCTTGAGCCTCGATATATACATCTCTTAAAATATCCTTTGCTCTCGGGACTCGGTGGTTGACACTCATTTGTCCACAACTATCGTTCAAGTCTTAGAAGTCGAATTTGGTCATCTGCATCTGCAGTCTTACCAACAATATCGCCAGGTGGACTCGATTACCGCCCACATGCACTGAAACATACATACCGCGCTTTGCGGTTGGTCATTTGAGCTCATCAGAGCTGTCTGCAGCAAGCAGATTCGGCGGTTGTCAAGCTTGCTGCCGCTCTTTCTGTTTTCCGCATAACGAGGCGATCCTCCGAAGAAGGCGAGCTGCGAGAGTACAAGTACTCGCGGTGGATATATCCATACCATCTCTTCCCTTTGGCCGTTCCATCCACCTCTATTCAGCCCAGCTCACTCCTCTGTCGTCGAGGATCTCGTTTCCCAACAAGCCATTCCTGCCCTTCCGTCAGACATGGCTTCCACGACCACGAAGGCAGGGCATTTCTTGGCCAAGGTCCTGGGCATCAAGTTGCAGAATCCGCAGCCTTTCCAAGACGAGGTTACCCGGGGGGAGTCGGTGCTGTCTATCCAGACCAATGACACCTTTGTCGAGGAGGAACCCAGTACCGCCAAATACCTCGAGGAACTGCTCCCCCATCGGCAACAAATAGGTGACTATATCTGGTCCTTGTTCCCCTTCTTGCACTGGATCGGCCACTACAATCTGCAATGGCTCGCCGGAGACCTCGTTGCTGGTGAGCAAGCCCTGTTCTCCCCCTTACCATCTGTCCTCCCCACTAACAGCGTCTGGCGTAGGTATCACTGTCGGCGCCGTGGTGGTCCCGCAGGGCATGGCTTACGCCCTGCTCGCCAACCTTGAGCCTCAGTTCGGCCTCTACTCCTCGTTCATGGGGGTATTGATATATTGGTTTTTTGCAACGTCCAAAGATATCACTATCGGGGTAAGGCCGCCACATCTCTTGGCCTGCTTGGCAGCATGAGGCAACTGCTGACCATTGGTACTCACTCAGCCCGTTGCTGTCATGTCCACAGTGACTGGTAGCGTCGTCGCCGACATGAAGACAGCCCTGCCCGATGTCCCGGCACACTACATCGCGTCAGCCTTGGCGCTCATGTCCGGCGCCATTGTTCTCTTCATTGGCCTTATCCGATGCGGCTGGATTGTCGACCTCATCTCGCTGACGGCCCTGTCAGCTTTCATGACCGGTTCGGCTATCAGCATCGCCGTCGGGCAGATTCCGACCATGATGGGCATCACCGGCTTCTCCACCCGCGATGCCACATATAGGGTCTTCATCAACACTTTGAAGAACCTTGGGCATACAAAGTTGGACGCCGCCATGGGGCTTACAGCCCTAGCAACGCTGTATATCATCCGGTCGGGTTGCAAATACCTTGCAAAACGGTATCCGAAGCACCAGCGGCTCATTTTCTTCATGTCCACCCTGCGGACAGTCTTCGTGATCCTCTTGTACACAATGATCAGCTGGTTGGTACATATGAACCTTCCCAGGGGCGAGATGAGATTCAAGATTCTTCTGAATGTCCCAAGAGGTATGGAACCCCCTGAAACTTTGGCCGGAAACTTGTCTTTTCTAACACGCCCGAAGGTTTCCAAAACGCTGCCGTTCCAGTGCTGAACCAGAGAATCACGAAAGGCATCGTCAGCTACCTTCCAGCGACTGTCATTGTGCTTCTCATAGAGCACATCGCCATCTCCAAGTCGTTCGGTCGCGTGAACAATTATACAATCAACCCCTCACAGGAGATGGTTGCCATCGGCGTCACTAATCTCCTTGGGCCTTTCCTTGGGGGCTACCCTGCAACTGGCTCCTTCAGTCGAACGGCCATCAAGTCCAAGGCTGGCGTGCGGACTCCGTTCGCCGGTGTCATCACCGCCGTTGTGGTCCTTCTGGCCATCTACGCTCTCCCAGCCGTGTTCTACTACATTCCCAGTGCCTCACTTTCTGGCGTCATCATCCATGCCGTCGGCGATCTGATCACCCCGCCAAACACGGTGTACCAATTCTGGCGAGTTTCGCCTTTTGAAGTCTTGATCTTCTTCACCGGCGTCATTGTGACCGTGTTTTCCAGCATCGAGAACGGCATCTACTGCACCATCTGCATCTCGGCTGCCGTGCTTCTGTTTCGCATTCTCAAGGCACAGGGCCAATTCCTCGGCAAGGTGAGGGTTCACTCGGTGCTGGGGGACCATGTCATTGGCGACGACTACCACCGGACCTATGGCGCGTACGGGACTTTCAATATCTCTAACGACGCGGCCGCCCGCAACGTCTTCCTTCCCGTCAACCACAACGACGGCTCCAACCCCGAGGTCCAGGTCGACAACCCTTACCCCGGTATTTTCATCTACCGCTTCTCCGAAGGGTTCAACTACCCGAACGCCAGCCACTCTCTCGAGTACCTGACCAACTACATCTTCTCCCACACGCGCCGTACGAACATCTTCCAGTACGACCGCCCCGGCGACCGCCCGTGGAACGACCCCGGCCCAAGCCGCAGACAGCGCAAGGCAGCCGCGGCCGCCAACCAGCCACCCAGTGCCCTGGGCGTGGACACCAATCTGCCGACCCTCAAAGCCATCATCCTCGACTTCAGCTCCGTCAACAACGTTGACATCACTTCGGTGCAGCAGCTCATCGACGTCCGCAACCAGCTCGACCGCTACGCCTCCCCCGACCCCGTGGACTGGCACATCGCCTGCATCAACAACCGATGGACTAAGCGCGCACTCCTCTCCGCCGGCTTCGGGTACCCGGCCGAGCGCGCGGGCGGCGTGTCCCACCGGTGGCGCAGCATCTTCAGCGTGGCCGAGATCGGCGGCTCCGAGAGCGCTGCCGAGCAGGCCGAGATGGCCGTCAATGAGAAGGAGCTGGAGCGGTCCGCGACCGGGTCCCCCAAGGCGCCCATCGACGTCGAGGCCGGCTCCAGCGAGGCCAGCAGTAACTTCGACGCCAAGTCGAGCGGCAAGGGCCCCGAGACGCGGGCAAGGCGTGCCATTACGGTACATGGGCTTAATCGGCCACTGTTCCACGTCGATCTGACGAGCGCGCTGCAGAGCGCGATTGCCAACGTCGAGGCGAGGGCTGAGGTGCGGAGTCCAAACAGCATGACTTCTGGGACGTTGGGATAGACCGGGTCATTTTGTTAGGTTTCGTTTTGCATTGTAGGCGTTTGGTTTTATGATACTAGGCCATCGTGAACTGTTATCCCAAAGAATACCCATGCCGTACGAGTTTTGGATTGTCCATACTACATACATATAGACCACATATTTCTTCACATACCATGTTTGCCCTTCCCACCTTGTTTGTGATGATGCCATGGTGTATCTGCCCGGTCACCCCAATGCACGTCGTACTCGAGAGTGCATTACAATCATTACCATTACTACTATTCCTAATCCTACACCTATATCAAGGCCCACGACCCCATCACCACCCATCAACCCGCTCCTCCTCCTCCTCCAGCGCCAGCGCCACGGGCGCCGGCCCCCCTGCCGCGACGCCCTTGGCGTTCATGACCTCCCACTCGAACTCGCGCAGGGCCCTCACCTCCGAGTTGACAAACAGCAGCGCGATCAGGCCGTCGACGGTGCCGGCCGCGAGCCCCAGGCTGGAGACGAGGACCAGCGCGAACGCGACCCCGGCCCGCGGGCTGAACCACACGGCGGCCAGGCAGCCCGCCGCGACGGCGACGGACGCCAAGAAGTGCGCCCCCCGCCACCGCTGCTGCGCGCGCTCGCGCAGCGCGTACCGGTGGATCGAGGCCAGGATCTCGTCGTACGTCGATGGCGGTAGCGAGCGGTCCTCCGTGGGCACAGCGGCGAGCGGCTGGCCGCCGTGGTTGTCGTCGTCATCGTCGTCGCCGGCAGCAGAGATGTGGGCTGAGCTGGGCCGTGGGCTCAGGAGGTAGGTTCCGTTCAGTAGGGCCACGTCGTGGTCGTTGGTGGCCCCGTTCCCGTTCGGTGATGCCGGGTATTCGTCCTTCTTCTCTGCCGCAGTGGCAGAGAACCCGGTACCGGACTTGGCGGCGGGGAGGGCTAGCGTGGCCTCGACGGAGAAGTGGTCGCTCAGCGAGCAACCTAGCTCCGGGTGGCGGTCCAGCATCCCGACGGCGACTCGCTTGACAACCCACCCGCCGTCACCGTCGTCGCCGCCGCCGAGGGAATCCCGGTCCCCGGTCCCGGCAAAGATGTAGTCGAGCCTCTTGCCGCGGCGATCGATGCTGTCGGGCGGGACGGTGGCGGGTGGCTTCCCGGGGCCGAGCAGCTTCTGCTGCTTCTTGCTCCAGCGCCAGGTATTGTAGATGCTGTCCGAGGTGGCGCCGTTCTCGCGCACGTTGTACTCGGCCGTGGGGATGGGCCGCCGGCGGGCCTTCTCGGCGGCGTCGTCGGCGGGGCCAAGCGAGCTGTCCGGGTGCATGACCCGCCAGACGTCGCGGACGGGCGCATGCGCCGAGACGATGCGGTGCGGGAGCGAGCCGGGCACCATGTTAAAGTCGCCCAGCCCTATCACCAGGTGCCCCCGCTCTGCGGCCCCGCGCAGTAGCTTGGCCATCTCCCAGGCCTGCGCCGTGCGGTGGCAGACGTACGAGTCGTGGGGCTCCTTCTCGTAAGGGGGGTGCGTCTGGAGGAGCATGTGTTACAAGGTTGACCAGTTAGGAGAGGTAAAGCGGGGGAGAGGATGCTTACATGTGTATTGAAGACCTCCATCACATCTTTGTGGCCGGCCCCGTAGCGGATCTTGGCGCAGGCAACTCCTTTCCCTACGAACCAGTCGCCTCTAAAGAAAGCGGTCGGCCGGCCGTTCAGGGGATACCGGAACATGGTGCTCTCCTCTATCGGCCATTTCGACAAGATAACTAAGCCACCCCCGAAGACGCCGCTGTGGTAGAACTTGCCGTACGGCAGGATGAACCGCGTCTCCCGTCGTATACTCCGATAGTCCTCTTGGGTCCAGCATTCCTGGAGACCAACGATGTGAGGAGAAGGTTCGGCCGTGGCCAGTTTCCGACCGATCTCTGTCAGGCGCTCATTACGGAGATTGGAGAGGTACTTGAGACCCCAGCAGTTCAGGGTTATGATGTTGATCTCGGCGGGGAGTTCGTCCATTGCGATACGCGACAAATCCAGGGAGTAGAAGGGCACAAAACGGCGAGACAAGTCCTCATAACTTGGTAGATAGATACTGATGCCTCTAGAAGTCTTGGGTGTATGTTGGAAATATGCAAAAGTAAACAAACCTACAGACAACCTAAAGCATCAACAACCCTCGAGTCAATGCCTTGACAACCGTCCGAGCGCCCCGACTTGAAAAGCTTCGACGGTGAGGTTGCTTCAGCTGCCGTCCCTTACGTCAAGTTCTAGCTGAGTCGAGTTAGCTCAAATTAGAATCTAGATTTCAATCCCCCACCCTCTTTTCAATCCCCACGCGTCCACGTGACTTACGGCTGGTACAAAAACCACCTACCTTCGGCCCGCCATTCCATTCTGTAAGAGATTGTCTCCGCGGGCAGCGGCATTTGACTACTCAGGCAGGGGGTCTATGCTGGGCAGGGGTTCCGGGCCGCCAAAATTACTGGGACAGTTGGACCATGAAGAAGACCAGCTGCCAGCCACTGAACAAGCGATGGCGACGGCAACAGCGACGGCAACAGCAACAAAGACGGCAACAGCAAAAGAGCCCGACTTGGCAATAGTGACAGCGACGGCTAACCAAATGCCCTTACCCTAACAGTTAAATGCCCCTGCCTAAATAGCTGAATGCCCCTACCCGCGGAGACAAGCTCTTCCGTAAAAGCCCCGTACCGAAATGCTTGTCTACAGCACCAGGGTCCATTTATTCGACGAGTTCCTGATCGACTCGTTCTCGACAGGAAAACAAAGGCTGAAATCGCTAGGAAGGCGCTTCCAAATGCGATGAGAGCCTGGCCAGCTACTCCATCACCTAGCAGCGCCTAGTGCCCGCGATGACGCACTGCCATAGTGTACGTTGCGGTCAAGCAAGGCGTATGCGTCCAGATCCAGTTAAGAGAACGTTGCACACAGATATCGAAGAAGGGTAACAACCTAGGAAAGGCCTGGGATGCGGTAGGATGGAAAGGTGGACTCAGAAACTGGCATGTAACTTGGCCGGAAATTTCCCCATTGGCTTGGATTATGCAGGCGGCAACTACCTCCCTTGGCACGCTTGGGTATGCCTGCACACATTCATTTGCACTCTTCCCACGTCCATGCGCTCCAAGGCGCGTCCCCGGCTTACATCCCAGCACCCCTAGCATTCGTCTCGGGTTATAAGTTCTCTGTGGTGGAATTGCGTTTCCCAGCGTTCTGTGCCGCGAACAAAAAATCCATGTGATATCGACAACAAGGATCTGAACAGTTCCCAGCCCTATAAGATCCTGGTTACGGCGGCGGCTTTCCTTGAAGAGGAGACCGGCGTTGAACAGGAGGGCAGAAAGCCACCAATCTCACCTTAGTATCAGTCCAAGTCTGCCAAGAGATACTGGCAACGGAAGCACTCACTTGTTCGGGAACTGGTGAGTCCAGAAAGCCAGATGAGACGAAGGACCCAGCAAAGATGCAGGAGCGAGATGTAGAACACAACTAAGAGATGCATGTCTATTAGCGCTCTGCCGGTAAGATCTTCCCACGCGGCAAGTTTTTCCCTGTCCAGGGCGGCCTACGCAGTAAGTACATACCGTCGTCTGAGACGAGACACCCAGCAAGATCTCGATTTGAGTGTAACGGTGTGCAATGGCAGCCAACTCAGATTGGCCAATGGTAAGCTTTGAGGAGCTGTGCACGGTTGACCACCAGTTAGTTAGCGCGTCATCCCTGCACAGAAATCCCCAAGCTTTCAGCCTCGCCCGCTTCTTTTTGTGGTGGTGCTGGCCTTCCAAGTCGGACCTCAGCGCCCAGATAATCCACAGATCCAGCAGCCATGTCCGACTCTGAGTCTGCGGACGGCAAGCCTCGAACCGAACCCCCTACGAAGCGCAGAAGGGTCCACGATGACAGCGCCGACTCCACACCCGGCTACCGCTCACCAAACGATGGTCGCGATGGCCATGATCGGCGGCCCAGCTCTGCTAAACCCAAAGACGAACCCCCGCACAGCTTGTCGATTCGGCGAGGCCGGCCATCGAGCGCCTCGTCTCCAAGTAGGAGCCCCAACGTAAACGGGAGAACAGACCGCTACCGCAGCAGCACTCCCACCAGCTCACAAGTTCCATCCCGGTCGCGGTCTAGATCCCGATCGCGACGGCGAGAAAGCAGGTCCTACACACACTCCCGCTCCCAATCTAGGTCACGCTCCAGGTCACGCTCCAGACCCCGATCGCACACCGACTCGGAACACTCCAGGTCACGGTCCCAATCACAATCCCGATCCCGATCCCGATCCCGCAGATCGCACTCGGCAGCCTCGTCCAACCCGCAGCGGCGCTCTCGCTCTCCCCGCTCCGCCGCCGCCGCCGCCACTCAGTGGCCGCTCCGGCCACGGCCGGCCTACCGGCCTCGGCTGGAGCTGCGCGGGCACTCAGCGGGGGTCAGCCAAGTGCGCATCTCGCCGGACGGGCGGTGGATCGCGTCCGCGTCGGCGGACGGCACTGTCAAGGTGTGGGACGCCGCGACGGGGGCGCACATGGACACGCTGGTGGGCCACATGGCTGGCGTGTCGTGCGTCGCCTGGGCGCCCGACAGCAACACGCTCGCCACGGGCAGCGACGACAAGGCCATCCGCCTGTGGGACCGCGTCACCGCCAGCCCCGCCCACGCCTGCGGGGAGGCCGGGAGTCTGAGGGTCGATCGCGGCGTCCGCGGGAGGGGGGGGGGTCGCGGTGGTAGGGGGGTCGGGGGAGGAGGAGGGGGTGCGAGGGGCGGGCGGACTGGTCGGGGCCCGTTGCTGGGCCACCACAATTACGTGTACTGCCTTGCGTTCTCGCCCAAGGGGAATATCCTGGCCAGCGGGAGCTACGACGAGGCCGTCTTCTTGTGGGATGTGCGGGCCGGGAGATTGATGAGGAGTCTGCCCGCTCATAGCGATCCGGTCAGCGGGATCGATTTCTGCAGAGACGGGACACTCGTCGTCAGCTGTTCTACGGATGGGCTCATGTGGGTGGCTCCCCCTCAGTTGCTTTCGCTTTTGAGTTTCCTATTTTATCTACGGACATGCTGACAATTTCTCTCTCTAGCCGCATCTGGGACACCTCGACAGGCCAATGCCTCCGGACCCTCGTACACGAAGACAATCCCGCGGTCGCAAATGTCTGCTTCAGCCCCAACGGCCGCTTCGTCCTGGCCTTCAGCCTCGACAACTGCATCCGCCTGTGGGACTACGTTTCCGGGTCGGTCAAGAAGACGTATCAGGGCCATAAGAACAAGGGCTTTTCCGTGGGAGGCTGCTTCGGCGAGTTGGCCGACGGCGACGGAAACTGCGGTTCCGGGAGCGGAGCGTTTATTGCGTCGGCTAGTGAGGACGGAGATATCGTGTTGTGGGACGTCAAGAGCAAAGAGATTGTCCAGCGGATCGCGCGGGCACATAAGGAGACATGCTTGTGGGTCGATGTCCACGGCGACACGATGGTCAGTGCGGGGAAGGACGGCGTGATTAGGGTCTTCAAGAACAAGGCCGCGAAGAAGATGGTTGGAAACGGGGACGCTGTCAACGGGGCTGGTACGGCTACGGATACGGATACGGACCTAAATGGTGCGAACAAGCCTGCCGAGGAGAGTGACACGCCCGACGTCCACGCGGCTGACGACGAGTTGCAGCGCCATATGGCGGCTGAGGATACATCGCATATCAAGCAGGAGGATGTCAAGGTGGAGGAGCCGTGATGACTTGACGATCAACTTTGGCGGATGCGATGCACTGTACGCTGACTATGATAGCATCATGCTACTACTCGGAAAGGCGAAGCTTCTCGTTTGACTTGCGTCCTGCCACCTCTGTAGATGGACCGGCTTATTCACGATGTGACATATGACGTCGTGGCCTGTTGAGTTTCTGTGACATGGGCTACACGAAGCACGGCATAGAAAAGCCGTAAGACCTGAGATATATAGACCATATATATCTACATTCTGCCTCTCAGACAACTAGGGTCAGTCCTGACAATGCTCCTATCCAAAGATGTTGCTTGAGCTGTCCCTTCGTTCTGAAACGGGAGAGCTCTTCCCTCCGTCGAGGGACGCAGGTTGATGACGCATCATCTAGCGTCGTCGGCACATTGGCCATCCTATTCTGCAGCGCCTGGCTACCTCAGTCTTGGGCAGCAACACTTTCGCGGCTTGTGCTGGAAATTGATTGGTCTTTGTTGGAGCTGGTGACGCCAGCAAGGGCTTGATTTAAATTGTCCAAGGAGCCGGTGACTCGGATCAAGCAGTCTTCCCCCGTTGGGCCTCAAGAACATCAACATCGAGCTCCCCCATCACCTCTAGAACCAGCGCGAGGCTTTCCAGGAAAGAATTGACAGCAACCCTGAGCATGCGGTTCGTGCTTGCGCAGTACCTGACTCGGAGGACGGTCTCGCTGTCCAGGGCCGCCGCAGCGCTCGGGGTGTCGGCGGGCGCCGCCGTCGACAGCTCGCGCCGTACTAGAGCGGAGAGTTCCTTGTCGACTCCTAGAGCCTGGAGGGCTATCGACGCGAGGCGCGAGTTTGGGAAGGGGATGTCGAGTACCCTAGGAATGGGGCCGTGAGCAGAGGAACGGATGGATACATGGGGGATGGTTCCAAGGTTGAACTTACAGGGAGCAGGGTAACTCCGGTCCTACTGAATGAGCCGCCATGGTGAGAGCCCACCGTCGCAGGGTTTGTTTGCCAAGGCAGAACGACTGGTATGTGTGGTCCTTGATCACGGACTTGTGTGGAGGGGCAGTTGACTGATAAGATAAAGAACTCGAACTCAAGGGGGCTGGTGGAATGTGGCTGACACACGAAACTAAGACAGGGACGGTTGTTGCCATGGTAACATGGGCTCAACATTACAGGCATGTTTTTAGCGGTTTCCAGGGTCCCTGGAGATGAGACCTGATGCAACAACAATACAAAAGCAGCTCCAATTGTCTTGTGACCCCATTCATCTTGTGCTCGCATGCCCTCATTTTGCACCCTGCATCTTCTCTTCTTCTCTCTCCTCTCCTCATCCTCTGCCGTGAGAATAGTTTCCTTGCCTCTCTAGTATAGACGCATTCTTCGTTCCTGCAACACCACAGGTAATTGTTTCGTGTGTTGAGAAGCAATTGATCTGCACCTTCCGTTGATCGCCATCTGCGCAACCCGGATTGCCTCACAGCACACCTCCCCGACCTACCGACTCCCTTCAGGAGAGTCCCTGGTCTCTACTGCCGTCCGCGGCCCTTACTATTCTCTCTCCCCTTGGATCCTTCCTTGAGGAGACGAGACAAGATCATGCCGCAAAGACGCACCGTCATAGGCCCTTCCAAGAAGGCCGCCAACATGGGGCAGATTATCGAGTATATTCCAGGTATGTCGCGTTCATTTGTTTGCGATTTTGTCTGCTGCGGCAGCGTATTCACACATCCCACCCCGTGTCACCGCCATTTCTACATAGAGTTCGACATCCCTGGAGATATTCGGTACCCAATTGCACCTGTGATCCCATACGAATTCCTCTTTTTTCCTATGGCTGGTAACCCTACTAACATACACAGATCGTCTGTATCTTGCATCATACATTAACCCTCCTACGGCCGACACCCTCTTTCCCTATCCCGACCCACCCGCAAAATCACCCAGCAAGCGGTCGCAACGGGCAGCTGAAGGCCCCGCCCCTGTGCCGGTTGTCCCCAAAGCCCGGAAGCAGCCATACTACTTTACGGTTGATGACACCCTGCTGTACAACGCGTTCCACCACGACTTTGGTCCGCTGCACATTGGCCATCTGTACAGATTCGCTCTCCAATTCCACGAGATCCTGGGGGCAAAGGAGAACAATGACAGGCCAGTTGTGTTTTACAGCATGGCAGATCCGAGAAGTATGTGGCAGCAGTGCCCCCCGCCCTCTACCTGCCCAATTCTGCACCTATACTTACTAGGAGTCTTTCCCCAGGTCGGGCCAATGCTTCTTGTCTGCTGGCCTGCTACATGGTCCTGATCCAATCTTGGCCGCCTCATCTGGCCCTTGCGCCGATTGCCCAGGTTGACCCGCCTCTGATGCCCTTCCGCGACGCCGGATATAGCCAGGCAGACTATGGCATCACCGTCCAGGATATTGTCTACGGCGTGTGGAAGGCAAAGGAGGAGGGCTGCTGCGTTCTTGAGGACTTTGATCTAGAGGAGTACGAGAAGTATGAGAGGGTGGAGCACGGTGATTTCAACTGGATCACGCCCCATTTCCTGGCATTCGCCTCGCCGATGCATCTACCAGTTGATCGCATTACCGAAGCTTCAGAACATTTTGCGACGCTGCCCAGGGACATGGAAGCTCTCGAAGCCCATCCCACCTTGCCACAGCCCTTCAGGAACGTGCTGCAGCACTTCACCGACAAGAACATCGGTCTTGTTGTGAGACTCAACTCGCACCTGTACTCCCCATCCTACTTTGAGGCCATGGGGATCCACCATCTGGACATGATCTTCGAAGACGGCACCTGCCCTCCGCTTGCAACGGTGCGAAAATTCGTCCGCATTGCGCATGAAATGATCAACGTCAGGAAGAAGGGCATCGCGGTACACTGCAAGGCCGGCCTCGGTCGCACGGGGTGTCTCATCGGCGCTTACCTGATCTACCGGCACGGCTTCACGGCCAACGAGATCATCTCGTACATGCGCTTCATGCGGCCGGGCATGGTCGTCGGGCCCCAGCAGCACTGGCTGCACCTCAACCAGGGCGTCTTCCGGGAGTGGTGGGTTGAGGAGCGGATCGAGCGCAGGCTGCGGAAGGAGGCGGCCCTCGCGGCGGCTTCGGCCACCACCAACGGGCAGGGAGGACATCAGCCCAGCACGCCCATCCGGGCCATGCAGAAGGCCAGCCTCGGCCGCAGCAGCAGCAAGGCGAACAGCACGTCGACGCCCCCCAACCACCGGAGCGCCAGAAACAGGACCCCGCTCGGCGAGATGGACAGGGACCACGGCCGTGATAACACCATTGGCGTGCAGGACGACTTCCTCCCCGCCCCCACGCCGGGCCAACCGCGCAAGGCACACCGCGGCGTCGCCGCCGCCGACCGGCACCATCCCTACAGCCGCAACGGAAGCGCGTCTGCCCACCATCCCGCCAGGGAGGAGGGCAGCGGCGGCGGCGCGCAACTCGACGTGTCGGGGGCCGCCGGCACCACCACCGAGTCGGACGAGGAGCTGCACCTCCGCATACGGGCGGCGCAGCGCAAGGCGTCGGCCAGCCCCGTGTCCCCGCAGCGGCGCGAGCACCACCACCTCCACGAGCGCTCCGTCAGCCACCAGCAGCACACGACGACGACCACGGTCTACCAGGTCGTCGACAACGACGCGTCCGCCGACATTGAGAACATTGGCACGGCCGTGTCCCGTACCAAGGTGGTGGTGGCCGAGCACCAGCACCAGCACCAGCGCGCTAGTTCCGCGTCGGGCGTGCTGGCCAAGGTGCGCGGCACCGGCAGCGTCAGGGGCAGCTCGGCCCGTCAGGCAGCGGCGGCGGCGGCGGCTGGCGGCGTCTCGAGGGAGACGGCCGGGGTGCGCAAGACGAGCGGGCGCGTCGGCAGCGTCGGCGCCGCTGGCGCGTCTGTCCGGAAGATTAGCGGGTTCTAGGGCTCATTGCGCTGAACCCGTTTTTCTTCTTCTTTTGCAGAGCGAGAAGAGAGAAGGAAGAAAAGAGCTGACGAATTACGATGACGATGACGTCTAAACTGAATTTTTTTTCGTTCACGGCGCTCGTTCTCTCAAATAGGTTCTAGTTCCTGCTATGCATATGCTGGCGTTTTGAGTTGGGAGAATTGTGTAATTGATACGAGAGAGGGAGGGGTGTGTGTGTGTGTGTGTGTGTGTGAAGGCGCGGGTTTTGATGGTCGCGTCTCACCAATAGGATGTGTGCGAGGTACTTTGCGCTACTCTGCATATTGTTTTGCTTCTGGGCATCAATCCTCATCATCATTTTCAATAATACCATCATCTTCTCAGCATTGGGAGGGGTGGGGAGTGGGCGCTAGGGGAAGGCCGAGAATTCCGTTCTGGAGTTGCAAAGGGCGCAGAGAAAGGGGGGGAAGGGGTTGATGGCGCGGGCGGGAAGGTTTTGTTTACAAACCTACCGGGTGGTGGCTTTCTGTGCTGGCGTTTGGGGTTGAGACTTTGCTCTATATTGCTTGTGTTTTCCCTGTCTTCCTTTCCCCTTTTCTATATCTCACACTCTCTCTCTTTTGATTCCACTGCGTTGTTGGTCTACGACTACAATATGGGCCGTTTTCCATGTTTGGAGAGAATGAAGTATGATGCCTTGGGGACCGAATTAGGGTCCCCATTGTCATGCGTGTTCTAGCTTCGCAGAAATTCAACAGAGAGTAACTGAAACCATTGTTCCCACCCGAAGTAGGCCCCAGTGTGCTGGTGCAGACGCACAATTCATCAGCTCCCTCTCCTCTCTCCTTGGTGCCTAAATTACGGCCGTGGAGAGAAAGTCCCTTTTCAGATCGCGCTGCAGATGGTCATATCGATATTACGGCATTGGCTAACAAGCAGGTTTGCTGAACAAGTCGAGAAGCGAGCGAGTGATTCTTTTTCTCCCTGCCTAGAGCGGAGTGAGGCTGTGCCAAAGCAGCTCGGCCGCTACGGGCTTCGCTACCGTTCCCTCGGCGCCGCCAAGCCTTCCGGAACCCCGCAGAATGGATCTCTCCTGCACCCGTTTGAAAGCGCAGATACTTTGTCCGTCGGTCAAGGCGGAGGCTGTGCTTGAGATGAGAATAGACTAGAGTGATGTGGCGGAGGACTCCGGCTTGCGCGATTTACCATTCATGTCCAATTTCGTCATTCTAATCAATTGAGTTATTTACCAACTTGTGTTGGCAGTTCTCTTGGCAAGTTATGGGAAAAGGCTCAGGGCAAGTTATGGGAAAAGGCTCAGGAAGCGGAGTGGTTACAAGTCAGCCTCGCTGGTCTATAGATATCTCTCGACTCAAAAGATGCCACGTCGGGAACACCAGCCCGGCCCGACGTCTCACGGCCTTTCCCGCAGGGCACAGTTTAAGCGCCGGGAACCCAACAACGAGCGAGGTGGTGGTCAGAATGTTGGAGGCCCGCAGCCGCCGCCAGAAGCTCAGAGCCCATCGCTAAACGCCACAAGTACCAACGGGGGCTCTCAGTGGGTTTAGCCTCAAGGCCCGGGCTGCTAAACAGGCCGTCATCTGCATGCATGATGTTGCGAGACGGTCCTTCCACAACTTCTTGACGATAATACAGACGGATGTGCATTCCGGCGATTTCACGAAAGTGCTCGCACATACATACGTGCGTACGGGGTAGATACTTACTTACATTCAACCTGCAAACTCAACCCCCTGGTGTGTAGAACAGAGGCGCCCACATGTGACCCTTGGGGCGGCCCCTTGGCCGACTGGGGTTCTGGTTGTCTTGGGAGTTGCAATTAGGTGCTTGAGTGATCGACTGTTGCCCTGGACAGTCAGGGCCAGTTCTGCCGACGAACAGAATCCATTGGACGGTGTATCGGGATCCCTTATGGGGAAACTCACTTCCATTTCGAATTCTATTTCGAGGCCCAGTGTTCCGACCTGCTCCAGCCAGTAATTTAACCTTTCTTGGGCTGGAAATGGAGGACGGGCAGACGGGGTAATCTCGGGATGGCCAGGGCCACTTGAAACTGAAAGAGTGACGTCTCCGGTAGACTAAGCTCCATGTTATCGGCAGACCGACTCTGCAGAGGTCTTCCTGTGTGCATTCAGGGGCCAGGGGTGCTCATCGGAGCTGCCGGAATGCCCCTGCAATCAGAGCCGTGGGTTCTAGCTACCCTGGGCACCTTGTTTGCCAAATGTCTGTTCGGCCAAAGACCACAAAAGAGTGTCGCCAGAGCAAGGGAGAAGATCAAGTCAATCTAACAACCCAAGGAGGTCGGGAACGACATCATTTCCGTCTAGACTTGCTCTCTGGATCGGTCCGAGTATTGTTGGTCCGTCGGGAGAGTATCTCGCATGAAGTTCTAACGGCCATCGCACCACAACAGGGCAGTTGTCCAGGCACCAGTGGACAGTCTGCAGATGCCAGGGTCGAACGGGCGAGTCGTGCAAGCATACCGCAGAGAAGACGAGAGCCGTAAGGAGGTCGAGAGCAACCACCAAAGCGGGGCCTATTCGGTCATCGTCACTCTCTAAGATGGAATCCGTCTGCCTGGCTGCCCATCTCCTTTACCCGCGTCTACCGCCGCCAGATTGAGGGCTATGTAACGGTAGATGCAGAGCTAGAACCAGTGAACTGGCAGTTGAGCAGGTGACCTGGAAGCCGGTGTCTCGTAAAATTGTGCATTTGATGTCACGGTGATGCATGGCTCTCTATCCACCCCGCCTCGCAGCGCTAGGCGAAGTCATTCAAACCTACCTACACGACAAAGTCCAGATGCGGAGCCAGAATCTTGTTGGTTGGTTGAGGGGCGACATGTTGGCCTGCACCGACAGAAAGCCATCCGCAGCGGGAAGCGTCACTTGAGAGGCAAAGGCTGCGCGAGACCTCCGCTTGCCCGACGCCGATTGGCCGGAAACGCGGGCGAGGGAAGCATGGATGAGTGCTTCTCGAAGGGTAAGAGAGAATATGCACATGGAAAGGAGAACCTCGCAGGGTGTTTGTCATGGCGTCACAAGGGAAGGAGAAGGTAAAATGGTGGGTGGCCCGTTGCGGCGGCCCAAGTGTGGGCGGTGTGGCACAGCAACATGAGGAAATAGATAGGCGATCTCAAAACAGGTTGAGGATACTAGAAACGGGGTTGTAGCACGGGGCACAGGAAAAACGAAGAAAAAACAAGACAATATGGTCGAGGCGATGCGGTCGCATATGAAGCGGCCTTGCGGGCCTTTATATGGCCAGGCAGACGAGTTGGCTAGGTGGAGGAAAAGGGATGGAAATGCGGGAGTCGATGGTCAGCCCCAGCACGCACACTGGCCAATCGGCACGGGGCTACGGGGCTGTGGCTGTGTGCAGGGGTCGCAACCTCTCAAGCAAACTTGACCACATCACATCTCATAGCATGGAATGCCTCAGCCGTTCGACTTGCGTCTAGGCACTCTTCTCCTATTCTCATGCCTATCGTCACTGCGGGCAAGAGATTGCTCAGATGGTGCCGCCATTCAGTCGATGGCAGGCCGGCCAGGCAGCCAGATAGGCAGCTGTGCACTCGCTGCTCCACTCTTGCCAACAGCCTGGGTCTCCTAGGATGCGGGCATCATTGTCCGGGCACCTAGGGAGGTAGGTAGCTTAGTGGTGAATGCGTTTCTATTACATTGCAGAGGATACAGACTCCATCCTATCGCTGCCCGCGGTTTGCCTCTCCGTCCATGCCCCCGGGGCTCTGTTCATCTTGCTCTCCATGTTATGTCATGGCCGAGTTGCCCCAATCCGCGGGTCCTGTTCTTGCGGCCAAAGTGCCATTCCAGAAGACACGGCCCCCTCTGTGCCCCCAATCCATATCCCCTTTTCCCTCAAGAGGTGCTCACATACACCCCCCCTCAATATACCGACTCTTTGGGTAGTCAGGGATAGGCCAGTTCCAGGCTAAGAGCCAGGACTGAGCCCGCCAAAACTGGTCGGTCTCCACCGTGGACTCCCGCTCCCTCCCTGATCAAGACATCCAACAAGCCACTGTCGCCTGCTCTTCTTCTCTTCTCCCCCCCCCCCACCAACATAGGTAACCTGGCCTCGATTTGGGCCGCCGATTCATGACTCCATCCCGATGACTCGTACCCATTTCGCTCTATAAAGGCTGCCCCCTTCTCATCCCATCATGAACCGTGCTGCCCCGGCCTTCTATTTTCTTGCGGTGTTCCCGATGTCTCTATCGCCCACTACAGGAATGAACAGGCTTTCTTTGGAGAGCATGCCACTACAGTCAAGATCCCACCGCCAGATGGCCTCATCACAGGACGATCCTGTTGACCGGAGTACGGAGAGAGACTCGGATGTGGATGTGGACGAGGACGACGAAAGTGTCTCTGGCGACTCAATGGAAGAACACCCGACGGTTGTCCGGTCCCCCACCGGGCTGAGGTACAATATCGGACACCTATCTGAAGAGACACAGGAAGTCGTGAGGTCATTGTTTGGCGAAATAGTGGAAGAGCCCCTTGATATAACCCTGAAGTGGTGCGATCGACTGAGCGACCAGGGAGGCAATGATGACTTCTACGCGTTTCAGATGAGCGAGGTGGTTCCGCGTTCCGTCCGTATCGGCTCTCCCCAGAGCAAATACGGGGAGCCGGAATGCCGATGCGGCGCCAAACCGTGCAAACACCTCATCTGGCTCTCGGACCTCATAGCCAGCCAAGTCCTCTACAGCCACAACCCCGACAAGCCGCTGACCCTCAACGAGCGAGGATATGCCGAGGAGCTCGGCTCCCCCTTCAAGCGCATCTCGGAGATGCGCCTCGACGTCCTCGCCAGCAGTCTACACTGTGACGTGGGACACCCGGCATCAAAACCACGACCAAGCACATCCCGCAAGGCCGAGGCCCGCGAGATACTCGCCTCGGTGGCCGAGGTGGACGAATACGACCTCCCCAACTTCCGGCCCGACCTCCAGGAAGATGACTTCGACCACACCTCGCTCATCCACCGCTCAGATTTCGAAGCCACCCTCTTCTCCCTCCTGCTCGCCTCCCACAGCCTCACCGCCTGGGTCCGCTCCCAGCTCCGGCCCTCCGACCTGCCCCGGGACCGCTTCCGCCTCATCCACCAGCGCGTCCTCCGCGTCCTCTCCGACCTGGACGCCTACTCCGCCGCGAGCCGCGACCACCCCGCCACCCGCGCCTCGCCGGGAGGCGCCAACGCCGACGTCGAGGGCCCGCGGGACGTGGCCTGGGCCGCGCGGTCGATCGAGCGATGCGTCGAGGAGATCCGCGTGGCCGTCGCCTCCGCGGCCCGGCGGCAGCACCGGCAGGAAGATGGCGATTCCTACGGCGACGGCGACGGCGAGTCCGCTCCGCTCGCGCCCTGGGAGCGCGCCAGCGCGGCCCGCGCGCTCGTCCGCATCCTGCGCGCTGTGGCAGAGCGGAACACGGACGCGCACCGGGGGGCCACGCAGGACGACCGGAACCTCTACGCGCGGCTGGTCGGCAACCGCGACACGGGGTTCGTGCGGGCCGCTCTGGAGCTGCTCGTCGACCAGAACCAGTTCGTCGAGGAGCTCGAGGACATACTCGAGCTGGTCGGCGCCAGCGGCGTCGTCACCGGCTGGTGGGCCGGCATGAAGCGCGTCGTCGCGCGCATGCGCAGCTGGAGGGGCACGGGCACGGGCAAGGGAACCGGCGCCGGCGCCGGCGCGGATAGGTCGAGGAAGGGTAAGGCGCCGCTCGCCACCATGCCTCCTCCGCCGCCGGGTTTCAGCAGATCTTCGTCGGCGTCGTCCGCTCCCGCCGCGCGCGGGGACTGGGACGAGGGCGAGGCCCAGCGTACATCTGCGCAGGGAGCGGCGTCGGCGGCGGCGGGTCCGTCGAGGGACGGCCGGGCCGGATCTGCAGGAGGTGGGGCGGGTGGCAGCTCGCGCGGCGGCGCCGGCTCGAAGCGTTCCAGCGTCGACGCCGGATCAGATCGAGGTCCTAAGCGGGCGAGATGAGGGTGGGGTGTGTGTGTGTTTCTTTCCCCGACCGCTGGGCGCTCCTTAAAACAATTCATCGCTCGCAGGGCTGGTTCTCTGACTGGAAGCGGCCCGTCTCTCTCTTGGTAGACACGATGGGTTTTCATTCTCTTGGTCCTATAATTTCACATCTGGTCTTTGTTTTTATTTTAAACGGTGAATACCCGTCAGAGCTCGATAGAGTTGCTGGGGGATACAAGCGCGTGGGTTATCGACCGTTTGCCGTCTTATAAAATTGTCTTCGGGTGATGAAGCCAGGCAATGAGAGTGTGTTACAGCTAGATTGCAAGCAACTCTCAGAAAAAAATCAATTCAATACGATGCGTGACCTTATCTATAGTCTCGGATGCCGTCCACGCGAGTCCAGCTAGCCAGAACCCTTTAACCCTTTTAACTCGACACCGCCGTCTTCTCCCTAAAGTCTTCCAGATAGGCGAGGATCTCGCGCAACTTGGGGCGACCGAAGTAATTGCCCGGCCACTCGCCTTGGGACCTGAGCCTGTCCCTTGTCTGCAAGAACGCCTCTGCGGCCTCGAGCTCCTCGGCCCACCAGCGCCTCGCCACCTCGAGGACCCGACGCGCCTCCTCCTCCTCCTCGTCGTCGTCGTAGCCGTGTGGGCGGCGGCGGCGGTCCGCGCGCAGGACCAGCTTGCTCCTCCGCCGGACGACGAGGTCGCTCAGCGGGCGCCTCCGGCCGGCCGTGCAGCGGTCTATCAGGCTCCTGAGCGGCGGCGGCGTCAGGCGGAACTCGGGGAACTCAAGGTCGGGCTCAAGGCGGTACGACTGCCAGACGGCGCCCGGCTGGGGCGCGCTCTGGCCCTCGAAGAGGCACCACAGGACGCGGCCGAGCATGTACACCTCGGCGGCCTCCTGCTCCTCGGCTGAGAGGCAGAGCCACGGTATGTTATAGCTGTCGTAACCGGGCGGGAGGGCGGCGTACTCCTCTCGCGACTGCAGCGCCTCCCACGAGGGGAGGTAGCCCGTGAGCATCGCGGCGAAGCGCTCGCGGACGTCGGCGGGGATGGTGGGGGCATCGGGGTCGGGGTCGGGGTCGGGGTCGGGGTCGGTGTCGAGGTCGGGGTCAGGGGAGGAGGGAGAAGAGGAGGAGGAGGAGGAGGAGGAGGAGGACGGCCCGTCGCTGGCGATGATGCGCGCATACTCGAGGGCGTTGACCTCCGGGGAAGCGAACTCGCACCAGACGCCGCGCTGCTCAAAGTCGAGCATGACGACGTCCGACGACGGCGCCGACAGGACAACGTTGTCGAGCCGGAGGTCCGGGTAGAACATGCGCCCGCGTTCCCGGACGTGCACGACGGCCGAGGCCAGTTGCGTCGCCCATTTCAGCTGGTCTTGCAGCCGGAGCAGCCCGTGTATGCGCAGCAGCGGGAGGGAGTCGCGGAGGCTGCCGCCGGCGTGGTAGGGGCTGACGAAGCCGACCACCGCGATCTTGCCCCCGAACTTGCAGTACTTGGTGACCAAGAACACGGGCCGCGTGATGACGTTTGGATGCGGTTCCATATTGAGGAGAGCCCGAAGCTCGTGGTACAGATATTTGGTCCCACTAGTAAGGGCTTTCATGACCCACAATCGGGCATGCTCCTGTGCGTGGATGTGGTGGCGGTGATGGTGATGATCAGGGATTACCCGTACGAGACATACGCTGTCGTGTAGCTGCTGCACTACCCTCAGTCTCGAGATATCGATGGGCTCTGGAAGTGCCTCGCGTGGTAAGTCCAGGGTGCTGTCCAGTCTGGAGAATGCCACCAACTGCCGTTCGAGGGGGTACATCCGGGCGACCGTGATCCTGATGTTGTGGACGTTGAGATCCAGGTTCTCGAAGATGATACGAGAGCCAAAGGGCAAATCCTGGTACATACTCGCAACCGAGTCCGGGCCGCTAATACCAGTCTTGACGGTCCAGACCTGCAGGGCTCGTAGGATATGTGTCGATATTCCGAGGCGTCTGACCCTCGACGCATCCTTGGTATGGAAGGCCGCATCCAGGTCCAGTATCCAGCGCAGCCTGGAGGCTTGAGCCGCTTCCTCGGGTATGAAGACATCGAAGCGCATTGGGGGGCCGCCATCAAGGAAGAGGGGGATGGTATAGTACTGGGTGCCAAGTCCGGTACATCCGTCAATGCGCCAAAGGGGCTTCTCAAGAGGCTCCAAGCTGTCCACTCGGTTCTTGGGATTCAACTGAGACCCGGACCAGGAGGAAGAAGGTGTCCCAGGCTCTGAAACCGGGGCGGGTGCATCATATCGCGCCGGTTGCGAGAAGGCTGCGGTAGGATGGACGACATCATGGATGGTTCTGGAGTTCAACTCCATGGCTGCCGACCATGGACGGGCAGGCAATGGCCATAAGAAACCGCTGGATACAGTGGATACGACGTTGTTTTAGAGAGTGCATCTGGGGGCCTAGCGTGGTCGTCTTGAATATGAACAGAAGATCTCGAGACAGTTCTGGCCGCCATCAAATGGTTAGGCGGAGAACCGCATCAAACCGGTGAGGATGCAGATAGTTAAGAGCCTCCCCCAGAGAACCATGAGACAGCTTCCTAATGGCTACGACAAGCGTCGGTGTCCTATCATGGAACAGCGACATCTGGCAGAGGAAATGGCCACCCACTTACACGTTACGCACGCTTGGTCAGAATTGGAGCAGGTGCATTGTGCACGAGCCCTAGACGATGCAGTGGGTACCTCGAGCAATTTGCCCACGATTATTATTTTCCTTTTTTTAATATTTATATTTTCCAATTCTTGGCATTGCGCTTGCCGACCGCTGACAGGGGCCCTGATTGGACAGTTTGGCTCATCGAAACGACGACGAGCCCACCAACCGGTCAGGCCCATCGAGTTCATGCTTCAACAACGCTGGGTAGCATTTCAAGCCTCGCACTTTCCACACGGCCGAACACATGGATGGCATTTACCGAAGAGAATAAAACCCGAGTCTCGAATCCCTCTCGGGAATTATATGATCAGATATCGATCTAAGTCCCAGCGAGTCTAAGACTAAGACTCCCAACATAGCTACCTAGGCAGGTAACTGAGGCCGCGAAAAGCGCCTGTCTCCAAGGCGAAAGCTCAGCGACGCTTCCCATCAAGCGCTTAATCTGGGGACAAAGTAGCTTGCTCCCGGTTGGACGATCTAATCCTCTAGCTCCATTCCGGGAGGGCCGGGACGGCTAGAGCCTAATTATTCTTCGGCACGGAGCCCTGAGCCTCTGACATTCTCGTCCCATGTCGATTAAGTAACATCGATGAGCCGAGAAAGCACCGTACCCGTACCCGTACAAGGGTCAAGGTAGACTTGCCAGCATCAGTGCCCCTATCAGGGATCCCAAATATACGAAAGACGGTGGCAGGGGCCATCGTGTGGAGGGTATCCTTCACACTCCGTTTAGGCGACGTCCACTTAGAAAGAACACGCGCAGTGGAGCCAAGGTAATAACCGATCGCCAGGTTTTCGTGTGTATTCTGTGCACGGAAAGTACGGGAAGAAACCGGTGTGTAACACAGTGACAGGTCTCCCTCGAAGGCCAGCGAGAATGGGCTCTCTGTTGAGTAACTTGGCATGGCCTCGCCCGATCTTTGGGACCGGGCCGTGAGGAAGTCTGGTCCGGATACCCTCGTCACCGGCCTGTGCCTGTTCGACGCTCTCAGAAGGACGACATGATCAGGAAATGCTCGCTTGCAGGAAGGAGTCTCCAAATGACGAATCAGGGCACTTGAGCCATATGCTGAGGCCCGCATGTCGGTGTGATATTTGCACCATGCTTCGTGCGGTAAATATCGACCGGCCGGGGCCGTACCAGTACGAGTTGCAGAGTTTCGGCGAAGTATTCGGTAAGTAGCCTCAAATCCACTCCGACGGCAGTCGTAGATGCCAAGCCATCCCACCAGGGCGGCCTGGCAGAAGTATCCTGGGTATATTCCTGCTCCGGTAGTCACTCTGACCCAGAAGAATGCGGGTGTCCCTCCTGCATCTCAAGAGGTAGAACTCGGGCCTTTACGAAGCCATCCCATTGGCACCCATGGTCCCCGCCTTTGATGGATGCTTCACGAAGGAAGGAAAGCCCAACACTCGAGGTTCAAGTGGGCCACTCGGGCCCGAGACGGCAAACATATTAGCTCTGCAGGCTTCTCGCCGATTTGTCCACGGCCACACCGACGGCCTGCCTTGCCACCCCGAACGCAGCAAGAGCTTGACCGGTGAATGTGATGGTCGTTGCCAGGGAGGGTCGGTATTAACTAGGGCGATGCCGGTAGTTCTCGGCGCAGAGAAGACATTATCTGGACACGTCCGACAAAGGACAGCTGTATACTCGCCACAAAAATGTATACTAAATACGTTGTAGGCTCGAAATTCCGTCGAAGCCGAGCCCCCAAGATTCTTCGCGGCGGTCACCGGAAGCGAGGAGGCTACCGCGTTTCGGGCTGGTTCCTTGATATCGGAAGGATCAAATACCAAGGTGGTGAGTACTCGGCAAAGCATCGTACAGTTTGGCGGTCACACGGAAGTGACAGAACCGTCATGTGACAATGCGACCAAGTATCACGTGCGACCTTTAAGCCCCGGCGCCTCAATGACACCAACTCACACCAATATCAACACAACATACCTTGGATTGATTCTCCTAGCATGACTGGGAGCACGTGCTGCTTTCTAGGCTCGGAAAAGCTCTTGATGCGCAACAAGACCCAAAAGGTTTTAAGCATCAGGGGTATGTTTTTGGGAACTGAATGGGTTGTGGTTGGGCTCTGAGCGATTTTAAAGGTATATCCATCCCTGTAACGGTGGACCAGTCGTGTCCGGAAGGTGTTGCCGCTGCTAGCGGTATGCAAAGGACGACAGGACTACTGCAGTAAGGATGTATGTACCCAAACTTCCACGTCTTGTACTACTGCAGAGTAAGTAGGAGGCATACACCGCACACACAATGCTGTAGCCCAGGCTGTTCTGGACAACACTCTGTCCACTCCTCTTCCAGATTCCAAACAGAGAGCCAGACGCACGCGGCACGCCTAGCAAACAGTTCGAGAAATTTGCGGGTATGCGGGCAGGTTGCATATGCACTGGGCACGCTCCTTGCAAACTTGGCGCCTTGATTCATCGATTCTCATCCAGGGACAACCGACAAACTGGAGCTGAAGATTGAAAATACGACGCTTGGTCACGGTTAGCATCTCCGATTGGCCTCTGGTTGACGACGTGTATCTAGCGGCTAGCCTGTAGTTGCGTTGCGTAGACGAGATTGTCTCAACTCGCATTACGCAGAAGTACGTGCTTGTTGCTTCTTCTGTTGCATCGGTGACGAACAGAAGTCACTAGGTGGCTTGCGAAACATAGGGATGCGTAAGAATCTCATTGTCCAGTCCCAAGCCATGCACAGTTACGTCATGCTAAACTCGATTGCTTGAAGACGTTTCTCTTCTGCCCAAGGTCAGCCCGAGTTCAGACTTTTAGACGAGGTCACAAACTCTCTCACAGTGAGACTCACAGTCGTAGGAGAGCCGTGCTTTTACATTTTGGTACACATGCATGCGCTAAAAAATCCGGGGCATGGGGGTATAGGGGGGAGACACGGGTTGGAACTTGGGGGGCAACACAAGCGTCTCCGGATTGGAAACTGAGCAAGCTGGCTTGGTCTTCCGGAAGTCCAGATTCATGAAAGCTACCTACCAACACCGCTCCTGGCGGCGGGGTCAGGATGGTCAGGTGTCAGCTGCTTATCTTGTGCATCATATTATCATATGTGAGCTGAGCTATAAGCTCAAATGGGAAGAGACGTCCGGCTCCAGTGGGACGAGAGCGCTGCAAGCTCAGATGGAATCGACCAATCTCAATGGTTCCATTTCGATGGTCGGTCACATCTCCTGACTATCGACCCCATCTCAAGTTTGCTGGGTGGGGGGGTTGCTGGCGCATAAGTTGCACGATTTCATACTTGGTGTTACCATGCTCCCGTCTTCTCGTGACTGATCGATGTCGACGATCATGATTGATGATTCGATCCTTCCAAGATGAACACGGCGACCGCGGTTGTGAAAACCTGGCCACGTCGATCTTTGGCACAGTCAGACCGGGCTGCGAGAAAGACGCAGAGTTTATGCGCTCGAACGCTTTGGCTTTGGTACCCACTTCACCCCTGTGAAGTTGTGAGGTTGTGAAGTTGTGAACTCCGGGACCAGAATGCAACGCAACTTGACAAAAATTAGATAGCTACCTAGGTAGGTACCTATATAGGAGGTCAAACTTTAAGACCGAGACGAACTGATCGATGGATCACACTCGGGTATCGATCAGAATTAACGAACGACGACATATGGCGGAGCTGGGCGTAGAGGAGGGAGGGGTGTTCGGATTTCGGAAGGCTCCTCCCAAGCGTGAGGCCAGCGCTAAATACCTAAGGTAGGGTTGCCTCGGTGGGGTAATGGAAGGAGGCAGGTTTCATGGATGGAAGCCCTGTCCCTCGTGGGAGTGGGTCAATACTTAGCTCTACGGCTCTCACCGAGGGCTGTGGTTGGACAATTGGGTAGCCAATCTCCCGCACCCTAGTAGTAGGGCCAATATCTGACAAGCTAAGATAATTTACACATCCATACCTTCCATCCATATTCTACGTTGATACTTCACGTGGTCCCAAGGAGGGAGCGCTCGAACAGCCGTAAATGATCTCTGGTAGCGACCAGGTTTATGCGCCTGGCCCCCCATCCGGACAGGTACATACACTTACGTACGAGATATGGTACTCGGTCGAGAGATTTCACGGCAGAATACGGAGTCCTGGACTTCCTTCGCAGGTCGTGTGCAGCTGCAGACCCTTACTAATTAGAAGAGCCGTTATGCAAGTGCTTGATTGTCGAGCAACCAGCAAACTAGGTACCCTGCCACTTTTGCAAGCCTCCCATGTCGTGCGCGGTGGGCCCGGTACACGCCTGGAAGGGAAGAGCCTTACGTACCTCTAGGGAAATAACTGCCTGACTTCGACCCCCGGACCCTCCCGTTCCATTGTTGCTCCTGGCTCCTGGCTCCTGCCGTCCATGGTCATTCCGTTTCTCCTTCGTAAGCCAAGGCGGGCGCATTGGACGCGGAAAGAAAAAAAAAGAAATAACAAGGAAATGCCTCCTACGTAAAAAGCCTTCCCCTCATTCAGCCAACCTGACCGGTGAGGCACCTAACAATTAACCACGGGTGCCAGCATTTTATGTTCCTTCTCACCGAGTTTTCTCGCATGTCTCCAGCCTCAACACAATCAGCATTCAGCACCCAATCACTGAAGAAGACAAAGCCTCCAGCCCCGACCGAGGATCGCTCGCCGACTTTCCTTCTCCACATCGAGGAGCCAGGCCCTGGTAACTTCCCCATTCCGAAAGGCACGGCACTGTCACCGAGGGCCCATCCATCCGACAGAGGAGCGAGAGGGAGAGAGGGAGAGAGAGCCACTGGAGACTTCCGAGAGACGAATCCGAGCCAAATTGGCCACGCCCCTTAGCCGCCGCGACCCAACGCTCATAGCGGGCTGGGCGACGCCTGCGCCCTCGTCTGCTTAGCTTGTTTTCCCGCGCTTCGTCACTTCCACCTGCTGCCTGCGCTGTTGTTGATTCAGCAATAGCAATAGCAATAGCAATAGCGCCGAGTTGCGAGTGACTCTAATAGTGCCACGCGATCCGCGACCGGGAGCAGAGTTCGGAGTGAACAGCATCCTAGCAGGTTGTGCTACCACGGCAGCAGCTGGTGCTTACCCCGTCACTCTCGCCGCCTATCCACAAGACCTGCTACCCTAGCTGTGGTCCCTTCGCTCGCCTTGTCTTGTCGCCGCTCTGCATACCCCCTCCTCTTGGGCTATCACACCCGCTCGCTGACTCGCATCTCGCATCGCATCGGTCGTCTCCGTCTCCCTTCGTTGGCTCTCTCGCCTTCTGTTTGTCCTCTCTCTCTTTCCGTCTCCCCGTCTCACCGTCTCTCCGTCTCTATACCGCCTCCGTCACACGCAGCTGAGCCTGGTCCTATTTTCCACGGGATCTGTGCGGCACTTCTCCCGGTGCAAGGGGTACCGTTTCTGGGGCGATGGCGTCCCTGTGAGACGCTGTTTTCGTCTCTACACCCCTCCCCTTCCCCGCTTGGAGCTACCCTTCCTCACCGGCCCCTTGCTTGCTTTTGTACTGCTGGTGCCGAGGCGCCACCGGTCTCTCCGCGCCGTCCTAGCTCTGCCTTGTTACCCTTGTATACCTAGTACATACCGGCAAAGTACACTTTGGTCAACGGCGCGTGTGTTGGCTTGTCCAACACACCCACTATCTCTGCAATCATGGTAAGCACGTCGTCCCTACTCCCCGGTTGGCGGCAAACTGCATCCTATTTTGCACCGATCTTCCCCCATCGACCATTTCCGGGCTTGCCCAAGTGTGCTGGAGTTTTGACCACTCAGACACTTGCCTCCTCCCCGCGGACTTACACCTCATCCCTAATATCCATACACTCCCGCCCTGTTCGTTCAACCTCTCATGCTCGGTGTGACTGGCCTGCCTCTGTCTGCCCTGTCTTGGCAAGCCCACACTTGATTGACCCTGACCTGACTTGACGTCGTCGTTCTTTCGCTCGTTTAAACCCCCCCCCTTTCAAATACGTCCACCTCTCTCCGTACCCTAAGAAATGTGCGGTGGATTGATGCTTGTCTAGAATAATAATACTCTTAAGAAACGCCGGCCGTATTGCCATGACGACCCTGCAGAGCCAGTGCTCCAGGACCCGTCTCATTCCTTGCTCTTCGGCCTTGACACCACTTCATCCCTGCCCGCCCAACAGCAATATATACTAGATCAGGCTACCTCGACTCATGTCAGGCTCAGCGTACCTCTGTCCAAACTCCTGGATCTCGGTCGACAGGACAATCAGCGATATATACTTGAGCAGGCCGCCTTTGCCCTCAATGTTCCGCTGCCACTCCTCCTAGAATCCAGCCACCGACAGCACCAGCTATACAAGAGACCGCGCCTGAATTCCGATATTCCCATGTCATCTTCCTTCTCGGGGAGTCCTGTTTCTCAGGATGTCCAGGAGAAGTCTCCGCTCTCCGGGCACCCAAGTCAGGGTGGCAACGACGCCCGCAGGCCCTTTCCCGCCGTCGATGGTGGCCTCCCCTCTGGATGGACTGGGTCCCGCCTGGCAAATTGCTTTGCCAGCTTCTCCATGTGTCCGCCCTGCTCTCCGTATGAATCCCAGACGGGTAAGCTAAGCTCCCCTGTTACGGATATAATCCGTGATGCCACAACCCACCTAACTCGTGAGGCCAGCATACCAACCCTTGCCCCCTACTTCCTCGTACGGCTATGGTAGTCCGAGGCCAGCCCTAGTCAACACGTCTGGCCCCATGCATGCTCAGGATCACGACCCGTTCCAGTCGGCATCTGTGACCATGGGCCAGACCAACTTGTTTGCCTGTGATGATCCTCTCATGGCTCAATATCTGCAGGACTACCCTGCCTTGCAGCCAACGCGAGTCATGGGGTCACAGCCAACAACGAGCAGGGAAAACATGATCTACCCAGAAAGTCCGCCGAGTAACAAATACTTCAGCCATCCCGACGATGCTCGTAACACGACAGGCCTGGGAATTCAAGGAAATGCACCAGCTGTCAGCCCTGCGGATAGGAATGATGCCATGCCAGCCGCTTTCGCAAGCGAGATAAATTCTCCGCCTTACGGTCACCAGGTTTCATTCGGCGGGCTGCAACAGCAGCAATATGACATGCTCCAAGGCTACGGACAGCCAGACTCACTCCTGAAAAGCGACCCGGAAGCCCTGGACATGCAGGCAAGATCAGGTTTTGACGTTGTCTTCCCTCATCAGCGAACGCCGTCTGCGAGGCGAGGTCCCTTCAAGGACCACGATCAACGAGAACGGACGGCGCACACACGTAAGATTGGAAGCTGCATTAGGTGCCGGATGCAACGAATACGGGTGAGTTTGGGTCGTTTCATCGCGCTTGGCTAGATACGGAGGTGCCCCTGCAACAGGACGACAACTAATATCCTTCTAGTGTAATCTGGACCCTGAGGACGAGGCGGGTCCGTGTTTGACCTGTAAGAAGGTTGCCAATAATAACAAGGTCTGGCGGCTCTCCTGTCTGCGCTGGAAGATCACAGATGTGAGACTGTTCAAGCCTGGCCAGGTCAAAGGGCATGAGTGGACGAATCGCTGGAAGGACAGCGTGGTGGATGACATCGGGAGCTGGGCATCATCCGATATCAGGACCATCTGCGTGACCGAAGGCTACACCGGCCAGTCAGTTAGGCTCCTTGTCCGTCGCTTCCAACCGCAACCAGGCGACAGCTTAGAGAGGTCTTGGGTGTCGAAGGGCGTCAAGAAGTCGGTGCCAATCCCGCCCTATGCCATAGTCGATATGGAGGCAGCCAGGAGCGAGTTTGACGGCTACATCAAAAAAGGATTAGTCGAGTGCTGCAAGCGGTTGCTGGGTCCTAAGGAGGACCTTCTCTGGCAGAGCTATGCCTTGGCTATGAAGATCATGGGAGACGGCGCAACGCAGGAAAAGGAGCGAGAACTCCTCAGGAGTACACTCAACCTGTGGATGTCGATTCGCCTGACGACCAAGTCCTTCGAGATTGTCGGTGCCGATACTCTGGGCATGCCCCACGACCTCATCGACGACGAGACGAATCCGCTCCGTGGCAAGATCCCTCTTCCTCCGGTGATGGGCGCCCAGATCGACTCGGTGCTGATCCATCAGGTCCAACCTAGTCTTCGGCGGAAGACACTAGAGGAGCTGCAGAAGATGACACAGGACAAGAAGCAGAAGACGTGGCTTACAACGTACCTGGTGACGTTCATCCTGTTGCACAATATCGCCCTCATCACCAGGCACGATGCCGAGTACGCCAAAAAGCATGGCATGAAGGTGAGTCCAGCAACCATGAGTGCTGTTCATTTGCCATGGCGCACGTCAAAGCTTCCAGTGTCCCCGCGGATCGGCATAAAGCTAAAGCTGATTCGTGATTAATCCACAGAGACGATTTGCGAGAGACGACAAGGTGAGGGAGTACAATCTGGGTAAGTGGCAAGATAGCATTGGTCGCCTGTGTCCATTTCCTTATCTCTCCTTAACCTCCCTCATCCTGTTTTTCAAGGGGAAAAACCAAACAACCAAAGGATCCTCGTCCCCTTCGTTTTCTCTTCCTGGCCCCGCCGTCCAGATTTATTCAACCACGTAGCCCACTCGCTGACAAGGTGCAGGCGCGAACACTCTCCTCGCCTACTTCCACTACTGCAACAAAGGCGTATATCCCTTCTCCGAGGAGTGCAAGGACCAGGATCTGCAAAGCTTGGCAGCGCTCGACGGCTCGAGCATTCGATTCGTCCATTCTACAAGACGCTATGCCGCGGAGCACAGTAAGTGGGCAGCACCGGTCCATTGGACTGGGGCTTTATGCAAAACCGAGGATCCGGAAGAGACGCTAACAGAAGCCACCCCTTGTCACAGAGAAGCAGTGGGAGGAGCTATGGGAGAACGACGACTATGAAAGCGAGTACTATTATGTTAGCCAACTGTTTGAGCAGAATTGGCAACCCCGGACAATGGGGTAGGAGGTCTGATTGGCCGGGAAATGAATTGGCGTGGTGCCAGTCGGTCATGCAGGAGTACCAAAAGAGATAGATTTGGGATGTTATTGGAAGTATTCGCTGGATTGTATAATGGGGCCTGCAAGCCTGGGTGCAGGCTGGCGGCGGGGTCTTTGGCGTGCGTCGTCCGGATGAAATACCAACACCCGCGCCAGATTAATTTATTAGTACCTGATCTAGGTATTCTTACTAGGTATTTATTTTCCTTTTGCTGCTGTCCCAGAGGCCCTACTCGTATGTGGATCCAGACGGTGTGGCCTATCCCAGCTCGGCGATCCTGACTGATGTGGGGCGGCGGGCGAGCTCTGCTCCAAATGCTGCAGCCAGCGTTGAATTGGATCTAGCCTTGCTTAATGAAGGCGCCCCTCCAGTAAGCCTGCAGCTTTGGTCTACTCAAGGCGCATGGTCTCAATGTGGTGTGAGCTGCGAGTTTTTGGACATGGGGTAGGCGGTATTCCTCCATCAACACCTTCTTTCGCTTGGTCACTGCAAATGGACGGAGGGATGCAGAGACGAGAACCTAGGGGCACCAAGTGATGCGGCTCCATTCGCGACATCCGGAACTAAAAGTGAGATCTACATAGGCACATTTGGAGGTTAGTAATGTAGGTACCCAGTCGCATGCCAGGTGGCCGGTGGAGACCAGGTGTAGTAGAGTCGCACAGCTGGTGGAGTTAGATCGCAATCTGTAGTCTACGTAGTACATCCTCCTGTATCATATTAGATCTGCCCCGAAAGCGGACGAGAATCAGCGTCAAGATCCATGTCCATTCATTCCAATTCAATAAAGTCACTAGAGAGGAGACACTGGTAGGCCGGTACCTCGCTGACTCGGTAGGTACTGTACCTACGCTATAGCATCTACCTGAGATCTGAGCTACCGGCCCGCGGCATGCTTGAACTGGCCGAGGAGGCCAGGTACCTTAGGTGGGTAGGTACCTACGCACGTATGCCGGTTCTCTCCTTCCGTCCTTGCTCTTACCTTGTCGCCCGCATGGTCTTTTGCTTCCCCTCGATTTATCTCACACGGCTACGCAGTACGCGACGTACCTGCCTTACCTCCCGTCTCCGTCTGGCTACCTACCTCTACAGGGAAACCCGCATGAGCTAACCGGGATGTGAAGACCCGACCTCCTACTGGGCAGGACCAATCCATCATGTAAGTGCAGACGAGATGCGCAGGGTAGTGCTTTCCTCCTGGCCCTTGCCACCTGAAGCAAGCACGCAGGGTTGATAATTCCCGTCCCAGCCTACCTACCTCCCGGGGGGGGGGGGGGGGGGGGGGGGGGGGGGGGGGGGGGGGGCGCGGCGGGGGGGGGCGGGGGGGGGGCGCCGCCGCCCGCGGCGGGGGCGGCGGCCGGCGCCCCCCCCCGCCCCCCCGGGGGGGGCCGCCCCCCCCCCCCCCCCCCCCCCCCCCCCCCCCCCCCCCCCCCCCCAATCCATGAGCCCACTCATGGATGCCGTGGCCAACGGATGTCTCTCGGCCTCTCTTCCTCTGGGTAGGTAGCTGGCACTTCTCGTCTCGGCCTCGGCCGCGCACGTCTGATCAGCAAGTAGGTATGTACCTAGCCAGCTACGGACGCCGCCATATATTGCGACCGATCGGTCAAATGTGAGCATCTTTCCTCCTCCCGCCTTTCCCCACCTTGCACCACCATGCATAGCGGGCATCTTGCAGGAGCAGCGACTGCCTCTGAAGGAATCCATCTGTTTCCCGGCTACCTTGTCCTGGCCTGCGTGCTTCCTTCATCAACATGCCAAGCGTGTACCTCTGTTCCTTTTACACCTTTCCTAACCTGAGGTGCCTAACATGGAACCTTTCTGCCTACTTACCTATATGTAGGTAGGCGTGCCTGTGTGTGGTTTTTTTTATTTAGAACTCATGGTTCAGTACGCGCGACCCGCGACCGTACCTATCTCAGCCGTCCCTGCTCCGGCCTGTGGTCCCCTTCTACTGCATACCCATTTTCCTTCTGCCATGTCTCATCGAGTTTCCGCCCTGGCTTCCCTAGGTGAAAGCATGAACGTTGCCCGCGCCCTTCGTCCCAACCGTCTCCGTTTTCACCTTCGTCGCTCCCCCAACCTTGCTTATTATTGTCTATCGGCCCTCAGCATGCACGCGCGCATGCCTGCCTTCCCACCTTGACAGAGTGATGACCCAGACACAATACATTCGAGGTACACATCTCCGATAAGTTGCGGCCAAAGACCGGGTACGGTACCGCCAGCCTGGGTGGCCAGCACCCACTTATTGACTGTTGTGGTCCCGCGCATATTCCCGTCGTCAGGTCACCGGTCACCCATTCTGTCACTCGGCTACTCGCTTTCTCTTTTTCTCTGGTCTCTTGTTTCTCTCTCTCTCTCACTCGTCCCTGCTCCGTCAGTCAAGTGTTGCCTCCCCACCCCATCCCCTCCCCCCCGCCCCCCCCGGTAACCTAGGTACATACCTACTTCGAACCCCCGTGATATCTTATATCATTCGTTGCTGGAGCCTCCTTCTGAACATGAAATCTCATCTCTCCGCATTCTCCCCATTCGTTCCTCCATAATATCACCGAGTGCCTATCGAGCCTACCTACCAGCGCTTCAAGAAGTTATCGACCCCCTGAAACCTCCTTAGGCTGGCTTCTGTTGCCGGTTCTGCTCCTCTTCAAGCCCAACAACCCCTCGATCCGGATTGCCGGAGATACAATATCTCACGTGCTTTGCTCTACTGTCTCGTCTCCTCATATTACGGCACGTCAAGGTAAGTGGTACTCTCGACGTTGCCTCCAAGCTTGGAGCCGGCAGTCTAACGCACGCTACGGAGCTGCAGCAAGGAAGCTCCACACCTGTCCAGCCTTATCCAGCTCTCGCGATGGCCCTTCTCGGCAGTGGACCCGTCATCAGTGCGGCTATTGCGCCCTGTATCCCGGGCTCTAATGTCATTAAACCCGCTCACGCACAAATTCCGGCACTCCCTTCCTACTTTCCTACCAGGTTGGATGCCGAGCTGGCTTGGACCCATGCCGACTTTCCCAACGAGTCCTCGTACATATACGAGTTAACTGGAACTGACCTGGAGGAGATTAACAAGGGCCTCATCGACTTCAAGGGTGAGTCATGCCCATGCTGACTCGGAGTACTGCCACGCGACGACGCTGCTGACATCTACGCACTACAGCACTGGGAATGGACGGGGATCTTGTAAACCCAGAGAACTTCCCCCTTCCACTCCTGGGTCCCAAGCTTGACTGGCTGAGCCGAGAGGTGCATCATGGAAAGGGTTTCTGCGTCGTCCGAGGCGTTGATCCTGGGCTTTACTCCGTCGAGGATCTCACGCTCGTGTATCTGGGCATCCAGTCATACATCGCCGACCAGCGTGGCCGTCAGGATAGGAGAGGTAATATGTTAGGTCAGCCAGTCTACTTTGCCAGAACTAGGAGCGCCATCAAGTTGACGCTGTGTGGATAGTTCACATCATTGCCGACAACAGCACCAAGGAGAGGGTCGAGCACCACCGTCACTCTACTAAGTCCATTGTGAGTCTCTAAGAAGCCGTATTAGCAAAGACCAGCCAAACCCAGCAGGCTAACACTGCTCCTAGACGTTCCACAACGAGGAGTCCGGTGATATCGTCAGCTGGCTCACCCGGAGTACTGCCGCTAGCGGGGGGAAATGCATCATTGCGTCCTGCTACGCCATTTACAACATCTTAGCAGCTAGACGGCCAGACATTATCCGCACCCTGGCAAGATCTGACTGGCCATTTGCTCTGTAGGTCTAACCGCCCGGGGACGGCGTAGAGTCTCAATAAATATATGTGGACCAAGCTGACCAATATTCTTTGCGGCAGGCCGCGATTCCAGTGTCGGCCCATCATCTTCCTTCAGGATTCGAGGCTCATCATGAACTTTGGCCGCGCCGCTCTCCTGGGCAGTGCAGTCCACCCGCGCCCACCACACCTCCCCCCATTGACGGCTCGCCAGATGGAGGCCCTTGCGGCCATTGAAACCATCGCACAAGCGACTCAGATGGAAATACAGACCCGTGCCGGCGACATGCACTTCGTCAACAACTTGGCCGTCCTTCACCGCCGCGAGGCATTCGTCGACGGCGAGGCCCTGACCGAGAAACGCCACCTCGTCCGCATGAGACTCCGGAGCTCCCAGTACGGCTGGGAGATACCCGAGGCTCTTCGGCGCGGTTGGCACGACGCCTTCGATAAGGAGGCAGAGAGGGTGTGGCATCTGGAGCCGATGCCCGATGCCTACTTCCCTCTACGCAAGTATCCTAACTAGAGGCAGTACCACAAAGAAACCCCGGCAAATGGAAACGGCCGTATAGGCGTCTCGGGGACATTTTAGAAAGGGGGGGACCAGTTGGGCTGGTGACGTTTCAGGATGGCGTCCGGAAACAGGGGGGTTGGATATCAAAACCGGGTTCTTTTGCATAAGGGGGGTGGGGGGCGGGTCTGAACCTGAAAAGCAAAGAGTGCGCGAGAGGGACAAAAGAAAAGGCAAGAAAAAAGGAGCAAAAAGAAGGGGGAAATGACTGGAGCGGGCCGCGGCGTCACAGTGTAGTATTCGACTTTCCTCTACAATGACAAGCAGAAATCAACCGACCGTGTTGGTTGGGGAGACCTGCCTTGTTGGTCGAGAGACACTGTGGCTGCAACCCCTTTTCATTATTACTATTATTATTTACTAGTACTAATATTTACCGTATATCCTCCAATCCTCTTCTTGCTGATCAGACTTGGGGTGCTCGCTCGGTGCAACGGCCAAGAAAATCAGGATGGGATTGGCCTACAATAGGCAGCATACACCAACACTTTTTTTTCACACAGTGTTTTGAGGTATGCGCCCTGCTTTCCCCCGTGTTCATCCAGTTATGCAGTTATCCTCTCGCCAGCTGCGCAGAAGAAGGGTACCTACCGCATATCCTAAACGGCCAGACCCAATGGGCAGAGGACCATGGGATTGGGCCCTCGTGCATATGTAGGGTAGGTAGGTAGAGGTAGGTGGGAAGGCAGTTGGCCCCCCCACATGGGCAATGACGTCCGTGCTGTGTGTTATATATGCAAGTTCCAAGGTTGTTTGCACATCTATCTCATGAGACCCTTCCAACCTGCCTTTGCAGGATGCGACTGTTCACACCGACGATGCGCCCGACGTTGGGGTGTAACCTTGTTTGAGTATGTAGTCCTGGCGCCGCCAGCGCGCCGGCATCTCGCATCTCGCATCTCCCATCCTCCTCCATCCTCCTCCATCTTCCATCCTCCATCCTCGCTTGCTATGACCACGGTTAGACGACGGCGTAGCCAGGCGGGTCCAATTACGGCGGAAAGTTCCGTCAATAAGCTGTGCCGATCACAGGAGGGATTGACGACGACGGGGGACTAATCGGTACGTTGGCCTCGCATGCCCCCGCAGGGCATTCTAATGTATGTACGACTGCGTACACTACTGTAGGTGCAAAAGTAGGGCCAGCCAGTAAACAGAAGAGTCTCCACGACCCCGAGGCAACAAGCGGAGCGCTAGTGCGCTCTCCCAGTCGCAATGACTGATAACCCTTTCTGGATTGCATAGTGCCGATATCCACCTGTAGTCCAATTCTCGACCTTGCTTTAGCGCCAAGTACCTATGGGACTGTATAGTAATGGCAGGCGGCTGAGGCGGCCGTGCAGCTGTCATCGGGTAAGCGAAGTGGGGCGGAGAGAACTCCTCAGAGGCTGGGGACATGGCACCATTACACGTACGACGGGATTGAGCCGGTGTCACACCGTGATGGGGTTCTCAAAAAGAACGAAAGAGCCGACCGACTTGCCAAACTTGCTGCAGGTTAGATCGTTTGGGGAAAGGCCGCAGCCCCCTCACTTCCTCTTTCTACATGCGCCCTCATAGCCGGCGCGTCGCGCCAAGCTTTCTGGATGCGAAGGGGGGTTAGAGGGAGCTTGGCTTCTCCGCTTCTATGCTCGATTCGAGCTTGGGCGTCAATGCTGGCCAGATCACAACACCAAACCAAGACTTCGCCCGCAGGTGTCACAATATCGCGGGAGGGAGCTTTTCCTGAACGGAGGTCGTCGTCGTGTCGTCGGGGAAAAAGTGGCCAGAAAGCTTGGCACGCTAAACTACGGAGTAATAGCTAAGGTAGAGCGTCGATCGGGTCGTCAAAATAGAGTGTGGGCCCGGGTGCAAATCCTTCTCCACCTTGAGCCAAGTCTGTTCTTGGCCAATAGCGGGGGGTGCAGAAGACCCCACCCGGATTGGAGGAAATGGGAAAGTTGCAAGGAGTTAGGAGATAACCATGTATGCGTATGCACTTTAAGACATTTGGGGAGAGCCCAGACCCTCGGCTTCAAAAATAATGGAACCTATCAACTTTTGAACCGGGGACACAAAAATTGTAGTTTCCACCTCTTTTTTTGTACTCCGTATTGGTAGTACATACATTTCCGCCGGTGCCGGTGGGTAATGAATGACCTTTCGGCAAACTCCGACAAACTGAGAACCAAAAAAGGGTGCCGGGCCGAGAACCACACTAGGCGGGCCGCGCAACCCGAGGAGATCTCATCAGACCCGAGACACCCTCTCCCCTCGCACAACAGTTGCTGCGTTTATTACTACTCACCGAGTCACACCGCCTCTCCGTTCACGTAAGTGGCGGCTGGGCTGGGTTGCAGTGCGTGGCGCACACCGAGGTGCATCAAGCTGCGGATCGTTACCTCTTCCAACTCTCATTTTCTTTTCTTTTGCTCAACAATGCACCCCTCCGTGATCCATGACCCATCTAGATCTTTTTACCCCTTTGCAAGCATTCATGCTTCTTCAACCGCCGCCATAATGATCTCGTCAGACCGCCTCCGTTTGGGAGAGACCCTGGACATTGCTTATTCTGTGGCTTGGTTTGGTACCTTGTCTGGCCCTCTTGCCTGTATCTGGAGGAAGACAATGTGCCGAGTTTGGCTCGCTTAACTCAAATCTCTGCCGCTCACGCGACGGCAAGGTGCTGCGTGGTGGTCCCTCAACAAAACGGACCCGGGACTCGCAGTCGAATCTGATCCGATCACTTCAGCCCTGAGCGCCCCCCTGTCGAGGGGGCATCGACGTGGCTGGAAATCGGGACTTTCCGTCTCGAACCCTTGCAAGCTTGCTCAACAAGGGAACGAGTGTGCCTCGCGCGGCTTCGCCTAATAAGACAAATTCAAATCCGGCGCAGCGGGCGTTAGCCACTCACAAATGACGCTGTCACCGCCACGATGGCGCTTTGAGCGATCGCCAAGTTGCTGCCGGGGTATTGGGAACCTGGGGTGACACATGGCGACGTGTCTGAGACTTCACGATTAGGCAATGGTGATACGGCACTCATACGGGCCGGGAAAGCCACCCGGGCGAGACAAGCGTTAGCTCGCGCCGGATTCACTCGCATCGCTCGCAACTACGCCTGTTTGGAGCGTCTGCACAGGAGTAGGCTCATCCGCCCGGCAGAATCGATGGGTCCCACCTCTATAGAGCTGACGATGCGAATGCCACGTCGGGCGCGGTCTTGACATAGGAATTGCTTAACCCTGGTTTACGACCTCTCCCCCCGGCGTGCGCCACTTCATCCTTTTGCCCTGGCGTCGGACCGAAGTGAGACCCGCACTGGCAGGGGCAGATTCCGGCGAGACTGAGACTCGATACGAGCAGTTGGTTCGTGGCTTCTCATGGTCTTGGCAGGAATGCGGCCCTCGATGACCTGGCTTCCCCAAGACCAACAATGATCAAGTCATGCGATACTATTCACACCGCTAACTACTCCGTAGACCAAGAGGGGACTCCGGCTACGTCCAGTCACCCCTGATGCCACAACCCACATCATGTGTGCCCTTCATTTTGTATCACATCTCGAAACAATATTGCGTTGTCCGCTCTTGGCAGCATGATCCCGAAGAGAATCCTAACAAGGTTCTTTCTTGATCGTGCCCAAATGGTCAATTTCATGATGATCTCGTGGACGACCGTTGGTCTTTGCCTCCTGTGGCCCCTCCGTGGTATGAATGTATGTCACTGGAATCATGGACAGGCGGCAAGGATATCTCAGCGTAGACTTCACAATACGCCGAATCTGTGGTTGACCCGCCTTATGGCTGACGACCACTTCGAGGTGGATCGTTAATGACAGGATCGCTGGAAGCTCATGAGAGTATATCACTGTCTGGCATGTCAAATCGTTCGAGGGCAGCGGTTTGGTTTGCCCAGCATCTTGCGTGTCAAAGGGGAGAGAGACAAGCAAGCTGTCTGCGACCAGGGTCCCATCACCAGCCTTGGCAGATTGGACGAAATGGGAGACTGCCGCCTTCGAGATATCGGAAACAAGAGTCGTCGCGTTTGCAGCTTGCACTTGGGGTCCCCCCTCTGAGATATAGGAGAAGTAGGGATAAATATAATCGCCAGGTTTTTCACATACTATGAAAAGGTTGGCGAGATGAATTGTTCTACTGCCGATATAGCCACAAGAGAGAACTGCCTACCTACCTATGAGGTAGTAGAAGTGGCATTGCTGGGAATGGAAGCTAGGTATCTTAGCTAGAACCCGCGTCGGAGCGGGAAAGGGGCATATATTGCTCCTTCTCCAACTCGATGACTGCTGTAAGGAAGGAGCACCTGGGGACCAGACAGGTCTCTCTTTTCGGATGGCTAACCCACCCTTTGGTGGCCGCCGTCTAGGTAGCCATGGATGGAAATCCACACATTCAGTCTCTCTTTTATCGAGATAGCCCCCATTCATTGTCAATAACATAAATTTAACACGGCGCCGAAGCTCATAACGAGCAAGCCAACATGGGGAAACGGCTGCTGATGGACCACGTTCCGACGACCCTCCCCGTGGTCTGGGAAGACAGCTCCACTACCAAGATCAAACAGTCGGCATGCCCAACTAATGGATCAGAAAAAACCAAGTCTACCCCCTCGCGACTCCGCCGCCAGGGAACCCAACTCATGTCGGCGCTCAAGGCACTGGCACACAGTGGTAGGCCGCTCCCCCCTCCGATACGGCCATGATAGTTCAAAGCTTAATGGTGATCGTCACAGGGCCGCAAAACCCTGTCACTGAGAGTTCGGCGGCGGCTCAACGACCGCCAAAGCATAAAACTCCGACGGCCCGAGAGTTGCCTAGAATGCCCAGCTCGCTTTTCCTTGCCTCCTCTGGGCCGACTGTCATCCGCGCGGACGCTTCGAAGGGCCAGCACTCTTTGCTCAGCTATACCCCTATGGAGCCTCCGGACATCAGCCAGGTTGCAGAGACTCGTACCGGCTCCTCTTTCGCCAACACCAGCAGCAGCTCCAGCGGAAACAGTGGTAACAACAGCGACCCTGCCATATCACCCGAGGAGTCAACTGGCGAGACGTCTCTAGACTCCAAGTTTCAGCCGCCAACGTCAGGGATGGACCAAGAATATCGTGCACTGGAGAAGTATCAGGGCACTCAGCGACATGGCAGTTCTGGGGAATGGTACATACCCGGCACTTGGTCGAGCCCAGGTAGTAACTTGGCCACCATTCAAGAATCAAGGTTTGACCAAGTCACCCCCAGTGTCGTTACGGTTGAGAGGGCGGCAGCCGCGAAGATCTACCTCGAAACCCATTTCAACGAACTGCTAGCAAGTGGGCCTACACCGAGATCAATAAGACAAAGGCTGCTGGAGGCCGACATATATAAACGCATCAGCGAGAGGAGCATGTCGCCGGCAGAGCAGGAGTGGATCTGGCTGCAGTTTTATCGACGCGAGAGCGAATACCTTCGAGAGATGCGAGTTATGAAGGCTCGGAGCATTCGCGCCTTGAATGCCAAGAGAGGGAGCCCCCTCAGCTCTTTTGTTGATGATTATGAAGTGATTGAAATCCTTGGCAAGGGGAGTTTTGGGGTCGTACAGTTGGTACGAGAGAAGACTACCGAGAATGGAGGTGATCAGAATTCGTTGTCATTTGGCGGCGGCGATGGCGAGCATGGCCGAGAGAGGAAGCAAATCTATGCCATGAAGGTGATCCGGAAGTCCAAGATGCTGCAGACGAGCCAGGAAGGTCATATCCGAGCCGAGCGGGACTTTCTGGTAGCCTCTGAAGGGTCAGATTGGTGAGGCGCTCCTCCAGGGTCGTGTCGATGCTGTAGATTTCTGGCTGACACATGATTAACACAGGATCATCCCGCTCGTCTCCAGTTTTCAGGATGCGACAAACCTATACTTGGTTATGGAATACATGCCAGGCGGGGACTTCCTTGCCCTGTTGGTCAGGGAGAATATACTGGACGAGTCGGCTGCACGCTTCTACGTGGCCGAGATGATCGTCTGCGTCGAGGAAGCCCATGCACTCAAATGCATACACCGCGACATCAAACCAGACAACTTCCTAATCTCGGCTTCTGGCCATCTGAAGATCGGCGACTTTAGTTTAGCGTTTGACGGCCACTGGAGCCACGACCCGAGTTACTACAACAGCCACCGCTATAGCCTGCTGCAAAAGCTATCCATCAAAGTCGACACGGACGAGGAGGACAAGCATGAAGAGAAGAGGGCCCAAGGCATCCAGTCGGCCATCGAGAGGCATGAAAGGAACTCGGATGACGGGGAGCCATTGTTGAACTGGCGGAACCGCTGCGGAATTCGTGCGGCGGCGGAGAGCGTTGTTGGCACCAGCCAATACATGGCCCCTGAAGTGATCAACCGGGAGCCCTACGACGCCAGGTGCGACTGGTGGAGCATTGGTGTGATTCTGTATGAGTGTGTCTACGGTAATACGCCTTTCCTTTCAGATGAAGGGCGGCAGAGGACGAAGGACAACATCACTGTACGACCCCAACAGGCATGACCCGAAGAAATGAAGGCTGACTGTCACTTGTCGTAGAATCACAGCAAGACTTTCGCCTTACCTTCTGAACCAGCCGTCTCTGACAAATGCCGGCATCTCATATCCTCGCTAATTCGGGAGAAGGAAAAACGCATCTGCTCAAAGCGTTATTATCTCCAGGATTTCTGGGCCACCTCAGCTTCCCAGCGTGGGAGACCCGGCAGGCCAAACGACAGACTTGACATTGGCCCCAGCCGCCAGGGTCCTAGGGACTTTGCTGGACGACACGTATTTCCCTACGATGCCGAAGATATCAAGTCGCACCCATGGTTTAACGGTTTCGAATGGGGGCGGCTGCATGATATGAAGCCGCCCTTCATACCGCATCTACGCTCTGTGGACGATACACAGTACTTCGGAGAGGTGGAAGACATGAGCGACTCGACCGAGTGCGAGGCGACAGGAATCTTTGATGCGGAGGCTGTAGTTGTAGTAGCTCTCGCCAACAGCAGGAGCGAGGACTCGGGGAATGCATCTTCCCGAGAGCAAAATTTGGACTTTGCGCCCTACCTCCCCACCTCGGCGAACATGGGCCCAATCCCACAGTTTACCAATGCATATCCCGTTGCTGCCCTCACTGCAGCCGAAGCCAGGGCCCGCGCCAGAGAGCAAGAAGCACGGGCACGACTTTTGGGACTCCGACCAAGCGTGCAAGACTGGGCGATGGCGGCCATCGCATCCCCTTACTACAAGTCCGACCTTAAGGCCATGTACAAACACATAGAGGGGCTGGCGGACCTGGGTCTAGAGGAGCGCGTGTTGCTGAAGGATTTCGTCAGGTTCTTCGGGAAGCTGGTGCTGAAACCGCGGGACTGCCTCCTCCGGGACCCCAAAACCAAGGACATCGTCCTCGAGCTGCGCAAGAGGACCGCCTTCCTGGGGTACACATGGCGGCGCATAAGGCCACTGCCGCTGCCACCGCCGCGCGGCGGGCTGGGCGGCATGAACAGCTCGAACGCGGCCAATCGGCTCGGCCCTCGGTTCGGCGGCGGAGATGGCACGGCCGAGGGGGCAGGGCGTTGGGAGTTCGATGACAGACGTCGCTGGGACGGCGGGCCGAGCAGGGGGAATGTTGCGTCGATGAGAGCACTGCATAGGGGACGGCTGAAGCTGCGGCCGGGAAACATGCGCAACCTCCTACGGTAGATAGGATACAGACCAGGGAACCTCTAGGGAGGGCTTGCTTGCTTGCTATGGGGCAGATGCGAGAGCCGGAACAACTACGGGCCACATCAATGCATGCATGGATGGGGACGAAGAAAAGCAGTGGATGAGACAAGACACGTTATGAATAGAAATAAGTAGTAGTGTTATTCTTTAATACGACCCCCACGGCAGGGGCGCTTGGATTCTTGCCAGGGGCCGTTAATCAATAGGGGAAGTTCCGCACGGTAGGGGCGGTGCCTTGGTTGACTCATGAGTGACGATGCTTAGTGATTGCACATGGACTAGTGATGGTCATTCTCTCTCTTCTCTACTCGCGCCTGATAATGCATCCCTTGACCAAAATCTGTCGAGATCACCTAATAATGATCCAGCTAGCGGCGAGGAGACACGATAGTATAACGGGACGAATACGGAAAGAAAAAGAAAGAAAAGGGAGTGGCGAGCGGGAGAGCAGACAATGTAAACCTCCAAGATGCCTGTTGACCCAATCAAAGCAATGCTAGAAGAAAAGGTAGAGAAGCATGGAAAAAGAACCTCGCCTCCAACTCGTGAAAAACCGGGCGTGGGTAACGTACCATAATGATACTGTCAAACGCCCGAGTATGATGATGCCCATGTCAAATCGTTGTGCAAACCCCAAGCATTTACAGGCGTGATGCGACGAAGGAGACAGAAAATATGACGAGCTTATCGGCTCATACCCTCGGGCTGCGCCAACCTAATCCCCAGTCAACAAACTCCATCCATCCATCCACCCTTCGTTCGGTTCGGTTCGGACCCTCGGGGGGACGAGATTGGGATCGGGGAAAAGGGCCGATTTGTTGGCCCCGGGGCGATCAGAGGGTCTCCCAGCCGCCGTTGCTGATGTCCGCCTCGAGCTTGCGGCTGATGAAGCTGGGGACGCCGTGGCCGAGCCAGAGGGCGCGCAGGGCCGAGTCGTAGCGGCGCTGGTGCAGGTGCAGGCGGCGGCCGTGGCGGAGGCCCATGTCCACCTCGCCGTAGCGGTCGATGTAGGGCGCGTGGCTGAAGGAGCCGGACCCCCGGTGCAGGTACAGCACGCAGCAGCGGCGGATGTTGAGGAACAAGCCTGTGTTCCTCTGGCATCTAATTTCCCCCCCCAACGGTTAGTTTGAGACTAATTTTCCACCCCTTCCTCCCTCCCATCTGAGAGACATGAAAAGGGGGGCGGCTAAAAGGGGTGGGTGGGGGAAGAAAAACCTACTTTCTCATATGCTGGTTCGCGCCGCCAACCTTGGTCGTCTTCCTGTTCCTCCTCTCCTCCTTGACGCAGCAGATGCCCTGGCCGCAGAAGACGTCGCCGCAGAAGAGGCACAGGACCGGGTCCGAGATGTCCTTGCCCGTCGTAGGGCACTGGCCCTTGGTGCACATGTCGATCAGCGCGTCGTAGTTGCTCGGCAGGCCCACCAGCTCGAATATGCCCGGGTGGCTGAGGAGCGCCCGGTCCGGCGGCGAGGACGAGTCCTCGAGCTCGTCGTCGCCCGTCGCCGTACCCGTCGTCGTCGTCGTCGCCGCCGGCGGCCGCCGCCAGACGGCCTGGTGCTTGATCCACCCCGCCACGAGCTGGGGCGTGCTGGGCGCCCAGTCGCACTGCGGGCCCAGCGGGGTCAGGGCGGTGAGCATCTCGTCGAGAGACGGCACGCGCAGGGCCTCGGTCAGGCGCTCCAGCTCCTTCAGTTCCGGGCTGGGCGAGATGTGGCTGTTGAAGTCGACGCCGTGCTTGACGTACAGGAGGACGACGCACTTGCGGAGGAAGGCAAGGGCGTACCTCCTCACGAACCCGTACCAGCCCTCCCAGCCGTCCAGGCCCGGCTGGTCGAAGCCCCTGTTCTCGCGGGCGCGGGCCTCGTCGGCGAGCACCGGCACCCCGTTGTTCGCGTCGACGTCCATCCGGGCCACGGCCTCGCAGAAGGAGGCGAAATTGTCGAGCGCCGGGTCCATGTCCCGCGGCCGGTTCATGATGCGCTCGAGCCAGAGGGCGGCAGGGACGTTGCGACCGAGGTGGTAGACGACCTTTGTGATCTCGGCAAGATAGCAGAGCCTGACCATGTGGGAGACCTCGAAGTCCTGCGCCGGGACGACGCCAAAGACGGATTCGCACAGGAAGATGAACGGATCCTCGCTTAGGAGCGGCGGGTAGGTGTTCGCCGGGTGCCGGGTCTGTTCCGTCTCCTCGCCCAGGTACTGTGCCATGAAGAGCTGGCAGTGCTGCCGCTCGCTCTCTTTCCGGTACTCGGTGTCGACCCGATTCTCGCCCGCCTCCCTCAAGCCTCCCACCGCGATGTACGCCGTGACTGTGTCCGCAAGGACGCGCAGGTGGGTCAGGACCTGGCCCGGGATCTTGTCCAAGAATGTCAGCCCGTAGTCGGCCTCGACTCCGCGCTGCTGGATCTCGACGGCCGATATCGAGAAGCCCACGGAGCGGGCTAGCGTATCACTCGAGAAGAGCTCATCACGGTCGCGATCTGTCAAGCCAGCCGGATGGCGGGTCTTGAGGCCATTCTTCACGAGGGAGTCACGGAGCCGACGATACACCTTAACGAGCTCCTGCATCATGTCGTTGCTCTCCGACCCTTGGCCGCTTCGGATACTGGTCTCGGGGACAATGGCGAAGGGCTCGATGTACGACGTACCCGAGGGAGGATTGGCAGAAGAGGAATCAGCCCAGGCATCATCAATCAGCTCGGAAGACCTATCCGCTAGACTGCTTGTCAAAGCCTGCGAGGTATAGGATGCGAAGGAGTTCTGGATCTGGTCTGGTGGCCTGTTTGCCCCGAGGGTATAGTATGCCGAGTGCAGTTGGTTCTCCAAGAAAGAGCTGAACGATATCGGTGTCTGTAGGACTCCCGGGTACGACTCGTCTTTACCCTTCCAGACGATGGGAAGGAAAGCGTTGCCTAGTGCCTTACACAGAGGACACACAAACTCGAGACGGTCGGTATCTTCGGGGGGGTGGCGAGCTATCTGGGAGCTGTGCCGCCTCACAGTCGCCTCGAAGTAAACCTCGAAGCAGCTGTAATGCATGATGTGACCGCACCCGATCGTTACGGGTCCCGAGCGGGTGAGTTCCGCAGGGAAGCCCTTGCCAATGATTTGCCGCTCCGTCGTGAACGTCTCTCCCTTGGCGTTGACTTTCTGTACCGTTGTCCTGTTCTCATGGGCAATCCCGAACGGTCGGATATGCTCGGCTGACCGGTCGAGGTTTTCCGGTGTGTTGAATGCCTCCCGCACGAAGTCGGGATCTTGGAGGTCCGTCTGCCTGAGGATCTTGCTCTCGGTGAAGAAAGCGAAAGTCCCGTACAGACGGCGCTCGTCCGTTTCCTCCTGACACAGGATGCACGTCCCTGCTGGATACTTCCAGAATTTCTTGTGCTCCTCGACTGGAGGAAGCTCCACGTCTTCGTCCAGGTCATCCATGTCACCCCAGTCAATGTCGCCCTGGTTTGCCATGAAGTTCTTTTGCTGCTGCTGGAACTGCGCCATTACCTTAGCCTGCCGGTCCATGGCAGCCTTCTTTTTCCTCTCGCGCTCTCCGTCTGTGACAGTGACGGCCGGTGAGGCTGTGTTGATGCGGTCCACAGACAGCCCAAGGTGATGGTAGACGCGGTCGAAAGAGTGCGGCCGCTTCTGGCGCATCCTCTTCAAGACGAGACCAATCTTTGGATGGCATGACTTGAGCTCATCCTTCGCCGACATCAGGTTCAGCAAGGCCACGATCGTCTTCGCCATCGGGGCCTCGGGCATGAAGTTGCTGCGGGCCGTTCGCTCAAGAGCCGCTGCCACGAACGACGGCGCCGACGGGTCGGTGTCATCTGCATTGTCCTCGGAGATGGCGAGCAGGATCGTGTGGAGGATGACCTGGAGGAAGGCCTCTACCCGGGTGAGAGGCACGCTCGGCGTCAGCTTCGGAGAGACCAGAGTATAGAGCAGGCAGTAGTAGACGATCTGGGCGAAGATCCCGGTGCCTGTAAACTCTCCCAGGCCAGTGAAGATTCCGGACGTGATGGGGCGCGGCTTCGGTTCATAGATGATGTCCTCTGCAAGCTTTCCAGTCCTCCTCGCCATCAGTTTGCGATAGGCCATTTCCGACTCCTCGCGCTGGTTCTTGCTGTAGTGGGCAATGTAAGGGTCGATGTCGTCGACAAACTCCGGCCTCAGCTCGAAGGTGCCTACGTCGGACAGCCCCTCGGGAGATTTGAAGATGGTCATCTCATCCAGCAGTCGGTGGAAATCCTCTTGCTCTTGGAACCTATCCGGTAGCTTGTTGCAAATCTCTTGGAATGAGAGAGGTTTGAAGCAAAGAACATGAATGATATCACGGCGCATGGAAAGCAGATGTGACGGTTCTGAGCCGTCCTCGACAGGCAGCACGCATGTCCTGTCGCTAAGCAGAACGATGAGAAGGTGGACCATGTCCTCAACGACGTCAAGATGCTGCACGTCGTCTTGTGCCTTGGACTTCTGCTCGAAGAACCCCTTCACCCACTTCTCCATACCAAATCGGTCGATTATCGACGCCAGAACGCGGCTGGGGTCGCACACGACGAGCGCAGTCTGCAAGAGGAAGATGTCTCGATGATGCGAGACGTCTCTCTGGCTGACTCCACGGTACGTGCCAGCCTGGTGCCGAAGACTCAATCCGTTCCGGACCCACATGCCGGCCTTCATCTGGGCTAGCCAGGCGCAGACGCGGAGGGGGTAGTCGAAGGTCGCCATCAGGTAGTCTTCGGGGGAATAGTCGCGTTTCGGCATCGACTTCTTACCCATGGCGCGGGGCTTCATAACCAGCTCCTGTGCCGTAAACGTAAGCAGTGCCCTTAGCTGCTCGATTGGCATCGCTTTGCCACACTCAATCAGCCAGGAGAGAGTGTAGTGAAGGGCGTGGTGGAAGCTGAGCGGCTGCTCCTCGACCACAAACTTGACGACGTCGAACTTGCGCTGCTGGTCGTCGAACTCGAAATCGGTAAGGGACTTGAATCTAACCTCGTCCTTGATCTCTGCCTGGGCGAATCTTGCACGCTCGGCGCCGATTGAGTTGATGATGACCGTTCTGGCCGCTAGGCGAATGGCGCAAGACACATAGAGGGAATCCTGCTCCTTGACGTTGCGGAACGACTCGGCAAATTGCCGGCAGAGCCTGTTAATCTCACGGGTGATGAGCGAGGCGCTGATCCAGCTATCCGTCTCGTACTCGACGTGCTCGCCGACGGCCCTCACATTGGGGCAGATACCCTGGTGCAACTTGACGAGATCTAGGAACTGCATCATGTATCTCTCCTCAGTCCGAAGGCGCTCTTGGACGTGAGGGGAGGCAAAGAGGTATTTCAAATCTAGGAAGAAGTGATACATCCTCCTGTTCGTCACTGAACCGGTATCGAAGGCAAGAACGGCATTGGATGCAACGTCCCAGGGATGTCCGACTTGGCGGGCGGTCAAGAAGGTATATAGTATGGCCATGAGATTCGTGAGGAAGTTTCCACGCTCGACAATCTCGGCCGTGATGGAAGGGGTAGTCAGCATTTGAAGGGAGAGGTTGATGATGGAATGATCCGGCTCACGATCCCCTATCAGGTAGAGCTGGGCAAGAGTGGTGTAGAGCCCGGAGAAGCGCAAGCCGAGCACCCGCTTGAACTCGGGAAGAGTGACCACCGTGGAGATGTAGAGGGACCTTAGGTCATTCCGCACCCGTTTCCACATCCTGAGATCGAATAGGATCAGCCAATCAAGCCGGACACGTTCGAAGAGATCCTCGGAGATGGGCAGATCGCCTTCTTCGGCATATCCCCCAGAGGTTCCTAACCAGTACCGTCCTGGGTTTGGTGGCGTCAACTTGTCCCCCTTCGAAGCCCCCGGAGTCTTAGGCACTTCCAGGTGTGCCTTGGCATAGACGGTCGGCGCGATGAGCGGTTCCGCCGTGTCGGAATCGGAGGGCGTGAGTTCGCGTTCCCTGATATTCCGACGTGGCGCCGGCGGGGGGGGCGGAGGGGGTGGCGGATAGTTGGCTATTGTAGCCTCAAGCTCTTCAAGTGCCTGGTCATGCCGCCAGTCGTGCATTTGCACATTTGCGCTGGCTTCTGGCCTCAACTCCACCATCATCATGTCGACCTCATCAACGTCATCTTCGTCCATATCGCCGCTAGATGGGGTGTCGCTGCTGGCGTCGTCGTCGTCGTCATCGTCCTCCTCCTCATCGCTGCTGGCCTCTTGTGCCTCGGCCTGCCGCCGGGCAGCCGCTCTGGCTTGCCGAAGCAGTCTAGCCTGTTGTGCGAAGATGTCAGCCGGGTCGAGGTCTTGCCGAGATATCTCGTCCTCGTCATCGATGCCATCCTTGCCGACTATGGCATGGGTGGCCTGACTCCCTTTCCGCCAGGGCCTGAGCAATTCTTCGCACACCAGCTGGCGCAGGATGTTGTGATCCGGCCCGACGCTGCACCCAGAAATGTCGCCCAACCACTCAATCATGGTTCCGCACATCTGCTCTCGGAACGTGTCCCGAGACGACCGGATGGTTACCGTGAGCCGGATCTGCTCGATGATGCCGGCAACCTCGAGTAACCTCTCGATACTCTCGTCATAGACAAGAATGCTTCGGCCGATGGAATCTGTCTCGTAAGCTCTTGCCAGGCCGTTTGCCAGGCTCGTGCTGCAGGCCCTCGCGACCTGTTCTTGGACATCCAGGACTGTGTGCTTCTCATCGTTCCACAAAAGGACTGCATATTCGCCGGGAGGGTCAGCGTCGGGCCCGTAATAGGTCGAGGAGAGGCGCGACATCCTCTCGTCCTGCTCGATAGACTCGACGGTCTTGGTCTGGCGCAACTGCTCCGGCGAGCACGATATGACGTCGCACATATAGTCAAACACTCGCCCGATGGTCATGCGCATGTTGGTGACCAGATCCTCGGGCAGGCCAGCTGCCTCCTTGCCCTTGCCCTTTGACTGCTCGCCCTCCCACATGGAGTGGATGGTGCAGAACATGGGCTGTCTCCATGCCTCGGGATCACCACAGTCGCAGCAGCCACTGTTTCCCGGAGAGACGCTGATCCGAACCATGTGCCCCGTGTGGTCGGTGGCGTCGAAGCACCGGCTGCAGAGGCAGCAGGTATCGTCGGCACTGCAGGTCCGACACGCGTACGACGCCTCTCCCGCCTTGAATATGTGGCCACAGGCCTTACCTCGGGCGGCCTCGGTGTACTCGGCGCCCTCGACGGCTCCCTGTGCATCCTTGAGCTTCAGTGTCCCGTTCCGCAATGGGCCGCCCTCGGGAAAGAACAGGTTCATGTATTCCGGCTTCCCACCAGCCATGCACCAAAAAAGGTTGGAGAGGAGTTCTTGGGAGGCATCATCGGTGTATCGGTACTTGTGTCGGCCGGGGAGGTCTTTCAAGAACTGGCAGAGCTGCTGCTCTTGGGTTGACATGGACGGATCCATCGTTGCGAGGAGAGCTCTAGATCATGCTAATATAGTCGGATAGTTGGCCGGTTTGGGGCGGGGGAGGATTGTGGAAACGATGCCCAGTGTATCGAGTATTCGTGCCAACAGCTGTGAATTTAGATGAAGAGGCGGTTGTGATAGGTGTTAGGGCACAGCAGAGGAACTGACGAAGCTCCAGGTGGCGGAGGGGCTCTCCACGAAACGGCGGGGAGGATTACCTAGGTACAGCACTTAGGTAGGTATAATTGCAGGTCTCGTTGAGTGTTTCGAAAGTGTTTGCACGCGGGAAGAGAAAAAAAAGAGCTCCCGAAATCTAGGGCGACATAACCGAGTTTATTATAAAGCGTTGAAAATCATTTCGTTGAGGCATTCAGGACGAACTTCTATCTGGAGATCGCCAACGCAGAAGAGAGATGTGGGGGTTGCTTGAAGGTGCCTTGTGGTGCCTACGTACACTACTGAGTCGCCCCTCGTTGGGCTAAGAGTGTAACGAATCACAGGCCAAGCGCCTAGAAATACTGAGCTCTCGTCATTATGCCCCAATCTTGTGAGCCTCTCTGGAGGCCACTCGAGTCCTGAACAGTCACAATAATTCCCTTTCCTTCACTCATATCCTTGTCTGGCTTTCCCGGTGTGCCGAGTTGCAGGCTGCATGTTAGGAGCACCACTGTTCACATCCACCATTTATCGAAGGGCGAAAATCCTTTGTATGATGGGAATCGGTGTTTTGACACTCTACAGCCAGTTCCTGCTCTAGATTTTGTACACTTCCAAAGTCTTTGGCATCCTTCAGAATTGCCTTGGCCGCTGCAATATGCCCATTACTCCTCCTCGTCATCGTTGGTGACGTACTTCGACCGTATATCCTTCCATTGACGCTGTTGGAGATGTTAGCCGCTTTCAACATCCATGCTGCCACTCTCCCTGGGAATTAACCATACCCCTCTGTTTATGTTGTCCCAGACCTTGTTCATCGTCGTGTTGTAGCCCCTGTTCCATGTCAGCATTGCGCACCCCCATCGTGTGGAACCTATACGCACAGCTCAAACACAAAGGCACTTGCGAAGACGACTCCCAGCATGGTCCAATTCCTCCGAAAGAGGCCACTGTTTCCCAGAATGTTAGCTGCCCAGTCCATAGCTCTGTCGTGGCAGGAGGGAAACTCGCTTGTAGATTGTGGTTGTCGCAGACTGCAAAGGATTGCCTGATTAGCTCTCAATTCCACGCAATCATCGCACAGAGAAACTGCTCACCATTGTGTCGAGGTTGATATATCCACTTGACAAACTGCCCGTACTGAGCCAATTGGAGAATTGTCTTGCAAGAGAGGAATGGCGTGGTTGAGGGAAATCCGAGGTTGCTCGCGATGTTTGGCAAAGTGTTGGCAGCTTCAATGGAAAACTAGGGTGGTCCTGTTCCGACATCTACCCGGCGCTTTCCACATGCTTGGCCCGAGCTTTCCCCGAGAATGAGCGCATCTTTTTTCGAACGCCCACCAACCGAAATTGAAATCCTCAGAGCCCCTTTGGATCTTCCCATTTTGACATCCGAGAGGCAGCGGAATAGACAGCATCCACCCCCTGAGTGAGGGTCTCAGGGGCCTCCGACAACCAGAGCCATTTCCCTCTCCCTACCTCTCCTATCCCCCCTCTTCTCTTTCCAGCAATCACACCATGTCGCCCCAACCCTCAAAGTCGGGCATCGTCACCGATGATAGAAGCGGCGAGAGGCACATCCCCGAGACCACCCGAGCAGACGGAACGACAAGAAAGGCGATCAAGATCCGGCCCGGCTACAGGCCGCCCGAGGACGTCGAGGTGTACAAGAACCGGACCGCCGAGACTTTCCGCCGCGGGCAGGGCGGGATCCCCGGCGCGGAGGGCCTGAAGGAGGACACGGCGTCGGACCAGGCGTCCGGCGCCAGCAACAAGAACGCCAAGAGGCGGGAGGCCCGGAGGAAGGCGAAGGCCGCCGGGGAGCAGCAACAGGGCGCCGGGACGGATGCGGCCGGAGCTCCCGCAGCGCCTGCCAAACCGGAGGAGGCGGACTCGGAGGTGGAAAGGGAGAAGAAGGTCCGGAACCTGAAGAAGAAGCTCAAGCAGGCCAAGGAGCTCAAGAACAAGAAGGACACGGGCGGGTCCCTCCTCCCCGAGCAGATCGCAAAGGTCATCAAGATCAGCGAGCTCGTCCGGGAGCTCGACGCCCTAGGTTTCGATGCCGACGGCGAGCCCAAGGGCCAATCCTCGCTTGCCGATGCTGCCGGGGAAGACACGCCCAGCTGAAAGAAAAGGGGGTGTCGCACCCCTTTCGCCTTCATCTATCAGCGTGTGACACTGGGCCCGGGTCAGGGCCGCGCGAACGACGGACCTGCCGACTCTTTTTCGGATGGTGGAATAGGTGTCCAGTGCCTGGCCCTCTCAGACCTGAGAACAGATCGGTGGGGCGGCTGCCATCGATGCAGCGCGTATGTTCAAGACGCCACACGAGCAACATGTTCGGGGCTTCGCCATCGGGACTGTGTTCCATGTCGCACTGCGTCTCTCGTCAACAATAACAGGGACAGCAAGTCGAGTCGGAGGGCTAACGGAGATTTGACAACGGAACTCAATGTAATGGCAGGGCAAGGGAACACAGGGTCGGCCTGCGGAGTTGCGTTTCTGAGAGTCTATTTACGCCGAGCGACGCGCCAGTGAGAGAAACCGGGGTCAGGCGGCGAGTGAGCACACTTGTCTTGCAATGGAAGATGGACCAATGGCCTGGACTGGCTTGTAGCAAAGCTAATCGGCCTTCCACCTTCTCTCAACCGTATGCCGTAAAGATGTGGGTTATAAGCATTACAAGCAATTGTTCAATCTGCGTTAAACCTAATAGCTCAAGTCTTTGTATATAGCGATGCTTAGTTAATTTGCCTAGTCTATGATCATCTCTAGAATGGATTGACAAGAAAAGTAAGGGAGCCTGGCCAGTCAGCCAGGCCCTGGCTGGTCCCGCCCTCATAGAGGCAGGTTTGCAAGCCGGCGATCCTACCGTCACAGGACCACCCGCCCTCATAGAGGCTTCGAAACCACGGCATCCGCCCTCTCAACGCATTCCTCGATGACCTTCCAAAACAAGGGAATGTCCAGGCCCCTCGGTATCCGAACTCCCGCCTCACCGGGTTCAAGAAGTCTTACCACAGTACGGCCGGTTTGTGCTCCGGCCTGGGCATCTTCGTAGGATCCTTCTGTGACCACCGTCACTTCGTATCGCTCAGGCAGCCTCGAGCTGGGCTCTGACTGGGGATTGAAATCGTACAACGGAATCTCGTAATCTCCAGCCCCTGTCAGGACGGCAGCAACCGCGAGAGGATCGTGCAGCGGCGGACCTTCGGTGATCCCGAAGACGTCGCTTTTGAATAGGTGAGAAAAAGGGGGAGACTAAGTTTAACTCCGTGATCCGGAATCTCTCAACGTTGCGGGGCACTCACTTGTACGTCTTGGCAAAGAACAACAATAACTCGACCAGCATCTGCCTCAGCGTCGTCCTTGCCGGGCCTGCCTGGACGCCATCCTTGCCCCACAGAAGCATCGCTTGGACGTCTTCGGTGGCCAGCACCAGGTGAGTCACGTCGAGGGGCACCAGCGTCGTCTTGGCGGCGAGGGCGGCATTGGAGAAGATCCACGCCGCGGCCTCCGGGTCGGCCAGGATGTTGAACTCTGCAAACTGGGTCCAGTTACCCGTCCGCGGCACCCCGTTCACCTGACCCATAGGCGCTTGCGTGAACCCGCCGCCGATGGCGCCCCCCATCAGCGAGAGGCCCTTGATGTGCCCTACCAGCTCTGGGTGCGCGACGAACAGCGTCGCCGCGTTGGTGAAGGCCCCCGTGGCCACAAGCCAGGCCGTGCCGGGTGCCTCCGCCTTGAGCGCGCCTGCGATGGCCTCCACGGCTGGGACGGTGGTATTGGCAGGGGTTAGCGGCCTTGGTAGCAGGTCGCTGCCATCAAGACCGGACTCGCCGTGAATGTCAGTTGGGGCATGCAAAACGGGCCGGCTCAATGCGTGAGAGGCGCCGACGTAGATGGGTATCTCCTTGTCTTTGCCGATGGCTGTGAGCACCGACGTCGCGTTCAAGGTCGTCTTCCTGCCATAGAATTTAGTTTCGCTTTCGCTAACTATTCTATGCGACACTGCCCAGCTTACTCAAGTGACGAATTTCCGAATATTGTCGATATGCCTAGCAGCTTGATACCCGGGTGGTAACACGCTAGGAGGATCGCGAACACATCCTGCAATGTTTATCAGCATAGGGTTAATATCCCGATCCGGACCAACCATGGACGCCCGGCCCCGAACTCTACCAGTATCAGGATGAAGCCATCTGAGCACTCAATCGACAACATGATAGCACTTACATCGTGGCCAGGATCGCAATCCAGCCAGACAGGAATTTTTGGTTCGGCCATGTCGTTGCTCGAGCTGTAAGATTACGACCAATGTTAGAGTCACCGCGAAAGGATTGAATGAAAGCAACGAACGAAATTGCCAACGAAAGGGAAACCGATGTTTGTTTGAAAGTTAGTGTGTACGTTGTAAGTCGGCGGGTATGAAAGGCACAGTCGGCTGAATCTTGCCCTTCTGACCCACACAGGGATAATGCCAGACCTGGGACAGTACGGAGTAGGCCCCGGTCTCTCTACACATTTCGCAAAGAGCGGGTGCCCAATCTCCAGTACAAATTCCCATCTCAGGAAAGGCGTCGTGGTTGTTACGAATACCCATTACGGAAAGTTTGGTTTACTGTCCACATCATATTCCGAGGATACAAGAAACAACATATTTCGGCGTTATGCCTGCACCTGTTTGAGCAAGACGACGGACGTTGACTAGCTCGTCAAGATCAATTCATAAACTTCTTGGCTCGAGCTCAAGAGTTACCGCCCTTCCTGCTCTTCATCACGCTCATCACGTCAGAAAAGCTGTTCTTATCCCCCTTTCGCTTCTTCGGTCCTCTCTTCCGTTTTGATTTGCCGCCACCTCCATTTCCGCCGTCATCGTCTTCACCCCCCCAACTGGATAGCTTGATTTCGGTTTCATCCTGGTCAGCCTCGTCCTCGAGCCTGTTCGTACCGAAGCCCATGTCCAAATCCTCGTCGTCTCGGCTGCTGTTTGCAAGCATCTTCTTGAGACGGGCTTCCCTCTCTGCCACCTTGATATCCTCCTCCGACCTTGCCTGCTTATCAAGCGCCCTGGCTTTCTTCAATGCAGCCAGGATGGTTGGATCAGACAGGAAAGGCGCTCTGGATGGTTCGGCAGACAACAGAGTGTCCTTGAAGTAATTCCGAGGTCCTGACGGAGGTTGGGGCTTTTGAGCTGGAGGTGGGGATTCTTTGCGCTTCGCGCCAGCCGATTCTCTATCGGTCGACGAGTCGGGCTTCCTGTCAGCCTCCTCTCGCTCCTCTCCCTCCTCAGATGACTCCTCGTCATCGGACCCATTTAAGCCACTCAGTGGATCGTAGTCGGAGCCCGCATCGTCAAATATGTTGACTTCCTTCTCCTCCTCCTCCTTTGCTTTCGCGAGCTGCTGTTGCTTGTAGAACTCAGGCACTTCCATGCCAAGTATTTCACCGTTCTTGTCAGGCTTAAAAGCCTCCTTCTCATCCTCCTTAGGTGCGTCTCGGCCGATCTTCCTCACCTTCCTCCTCTCGTTCCCGTCCTCGTCAACAATAATCAGCACCTCCCTACCCTTGCCGTCTCGTTCAATGCGTGTCCCAGGCATCTTCCGCTCGCCGATCTTCTTGAAACGCGTCCCAAGGGCTGACTGTTCCTTTGCCTTGGCCGCCTCTCGCGCTGCTTTCATCTCTGCTAGTATCTGATCCCGGGACCGCTTCTGGCCGGGAACTAGCGATGTGGGGGCGAACTGGCCCTTTTTCTGGATTTTCTCCCTCTCGACAGGCTTGACCTCGTGCGCCTCGAGTTCGTCAAGCAGCTCATCCGGATCTTGTTCTGGCTCCGATTCAGGCTGCTCTTCGGGAGATTTGGACTTCGGCTCGTCGAACACGTCCTCTCCCTTTCGTATCCTCTCCAATAACTTGAAGTCCAAACCCTTGACCAAATGTGTACTCGAGAGATCACCGCCGGCGATCTGACTCCTCAGCTTGTCGTAGGTCTCCTGGTCAATCTCCTCCTTCTTTAGAGACTCGTCGAGATTCTTGAGCCTCTCGGCGCGCTCATCCTCCTCCTCCTCCTCCTCTCTCGTTTTGGCGCGGTCGGTATAGCCCTGAGCAAGCCTGCTTCCCTTCGGTGTCGACGTGCGAAATTTCTTTTGCCGTTGCTGGTCCCCCTGGTTCCTGTCTGCAAGCTGTCGTGCGAAATCAACGCGACCCGTAACTGCCCGTGGCGTCATCGGCATGCTCGACTTTTGTCTTGATCCCAGCGCAACAGGGGTGCTGCCGCCCAGCCGGCCGCCCGTCGGGGTGGAAGCATCCTGCCCCGCGCCGGAAGCCTTCGCTGCGTTGGCGATAAGGAGCTTCCGAAACTGCTCTTTGTTCATCTTGCGTCTACCGAATTGCGAATCCAAGGGTTGGCGGGAGGAATCTCGATTTTGCACACGAATCGTCGAAGTCTTGAGAAGTCCAGCCTCGCCATTCGAGGCTGGTGTTGTGGGGCCCAGTGCCAGATAGAGATTACGTAATTTGGGACCTTAAATTGGTCACGGGGTATCGCGTAGAGTGGCGATGCTTCCTGCGCGTCACCCGCACCCTTTGAAAGGTGGCTTACTATCCGACTTGCCACTTCCTGGTCCAGAAAACCCAGGAACTAATGTCTCTTGCAAGGCGACCAGCAAAAAATAATGCTGTGATGATCCCGTCTTCGAGTCATGCATAAGAAGGCATCGCTTGCGCACAGATCCCCCTATCACCAGAGTATGCGTGATACCTGTGATACCGCCTGAAAAAGCGTGTAACGTGTATATCCTGAAACGGATGGTTAACGGTCATTTCCCCCTTGAACATTTGAACGATGGGAAGCCGCCTAGAAAAGAATTCGGCGGCTGTCCGAAAGCGGATTGAGGGCCATACCTTTTCCGATGAGGCTGGCGAGGAGTATGAAGGAAGCGAGTTTGGCGGGTTTGGGGATTACTTCAGGAGGAAGAAGATAAAACTGCAGAACTTGGACGCAGATCTCCGAGCATCTTCGGGGGATAAGCCGCAAATATTCAAGGGGGTCGTTGCACATGTAATGGGCTACACCCAACCACCCTTACAGGTGTAAGTTTGTTAGCTCCCCCCTTTTCTCCCTCATCGGCAGACTTGCTGACTTGTCCCAGTCTACACAAGGAACTTGTTCAACATGGCGCGGGTTTTCTGCAGTACCTGGATTCAAAGACAATGGCAACACACGTCATCGCATCGGCATTGCCACCGAAGAAAGTTGTCGATTACAACAAGTACAGAATGGTCAAGCCAGCCTGGGTGACAGATTCTATCAAGGCCGGCAAGCTCCTGCCTTGGTCCAGTTATCGAGTTATAGACGAGAGCCCAAGGCAAAAGACGATCATGTTTGACGGGGGGCAGATGTTCAGCCAGACCACGCAACGATCACAACTCCGGTATCGAGAACAGACGCAGAACAGTTTCTACAACACCCAGTTCCAAAAGGCAGCAGACTCCCCACTGCGGACACTCGAGAGTATCGAGGCGCCTGATGATATGGACATTGATGGTCTAGACTCAAGGGACCTTATTGAGGACGCAACCCCGACCAAGGCTCCTATCATCGATCAAGATGTGCAAGGAACAGGCGCAGGTTCTGAAGAAGACATCACTTCAAATCAGCTTGATAGCGGCGACGGACCACCCGACCTCCTAGATGCGGACATGGAAAGCATGGTTCGGAGTCCTTCAAGAGCCAAGCCCATGACTTCCGAGGAGCACAATGCTGTACTACTATCTGATCCCCGTATTCGGAAGTCGTCGACGGCCAACCCTGAGTTTCTCAAGCAATTTTATTCCGAGAGTCGCCTGCATCATCTGTCAACTTGGAAAGCTGAGCTCAAGTCGAATATGCAAAGGCTCGCCGCTGAGAAGGGCTTGGTGTCCAAGGTTCCGAAGCGAAAACCGGGATCCCGCAGATACATCATGCACGTCGACTTTGACAGCTTCTTCTGCGCAGTGTCTCTCAAGAGGCACCCTGAACTTGTTGACAAGCCTGCTGTTGTGGCCCATGGCACCGGGAATGGCTCGGAGATTGCCTCTTGCAACTACCCGGCGAGGAAACTCGGAGTCAAGAACGGCATGTGGATGAAGAGGGCGCAGGAGCTTTGCCCAGACCTAAAGGTCTTGCCGTATGACTTCCCGGCCTACGAAGAAGCGAGCAGGCTATTTTACGACGCAATCATTGATGTTGGCGGCATTACACAAAGCGTCAGCATAGATGAAGCCCTCGTGGACATTACAAACATTGTTCTCTCTGCCACGGGTTCAAAAGGCATTGGTGTGGACGAAGGAAGCATTTGGAGAGAGCAGAACGAGGCGAATCAGATTGCGACAAACCTCCGTCAAAGAATCAAGGATAGCACGGGTTGCAACGTGTCGGTTGGAATCGGCGCCAATATCCTGCTCGCGAAAGTAGCACTGAGAAAGGCCAAGCCAGCCGGCCAGCACCAAATCATACCAGAAGAGGTTCTCGAAATTTTGGGCGACTTGAAGGTCGACAGCCTCCCGGGCGTTGCATATAGCATTGGGGGAAAGCTTGAGGAGATCGGGGTCAAGTTCGTTAAAGATGTTCGTCAAACCAGCAAAGAACGTCTCATATTGGTCCTGGGGCCCAAGACGGGTGAGAAGCTATGGGAGTATGCCCGTGGCATCGATCGAGTGGAGGTTGGGGAACAGCCAATTCGCAAGTCCGTGTCCGCCGAGGTCAACTGGGGAATCCGTTTCATCAATCAACAGGAAGCGGAAGAATTCGTTGGCAACCTTTGCAAGGAGCTCGAACGCCGCTTGCTCAACGAAGGTGTCAAGGGCAAGCATCTTACGGTGAAGATTATGCGCCGAGCACTGGATGCTCCTCTCGATCCTCCGAAACATCTCGGGCATGGAAAGTGCGACACATTCAACAAGAGCGTTGTATTTGGTGTTGCGACGAACAACGGCGAGTTGATCGGCAGAGAAGCCGTGACCATCCTCCGCTCGTACAAGTTCAGCCCGGGAGACCTTCGCGGCCTCGGTGTGCAATTAACCAAGCTTGAACCGATGAAATCGGCTACCACCCACCCGGAAGGTAGCCAAAAGCGACTCAGTTTCGGTAGTTTCGCAACGGCGCAACCAGCGAAGAAACAGAAAACCGAACCCATCGAGGATGAAGAACTTCCGGGCAAGCTAAAGAACAACGCACGGGACGAGGACGACCCTATTACGGATGACCCCCTGACTCCCCGTAAGCCGAAGATGCACCCTGCCCTTGCCCTGGCAAGGGCTAGCGAAGCTGACGAGAATGCGAGGACTCCCTTGAATATGACGGGTACCCAGTTCATCATGCCATCCAACCCCGATCCGGCGGTGCTTGCTGAGCTGCCGCCGGACATACGCAGCAAGTTGATGGGGACGACTCACAACAGCACTATCTCCAAAGTCCGTGATACTTCTCCATCCGTCAAGTCAAGTACACAAAGTCCTGCGCTGCAGGATGATATTCCGCCGGAAGTTGACCCGGAAGTATTCAATGCTCTTCCAGAAGATGTGAAGGCCGAAATACTGGCCTCTTATAACCCTAAAAGAGGCCAAGCCCTCCTCCCGCAATCCCCTCGCAAGGACAGGGTGATACACCACCCGAAGAGGGCACCTACACCAACGAAGCGTGGCATTCGCGGCATGTTCAACCTTGCCCGGGAGCGGCAACACGACGCAGAGGCTCGACTGCAGCAGACCAACTTCCTCACCGGAAGCAAGGGGCGGGATGAGGTGGCGAACGACGACGTCGACGCCATCGACCAGTTGGATCCCGAGTTCCTGTCAGAACTCCCGGAAGACGTGCGGCAAGAGGTCGTAGAGGACCACCAGCGCCGCCGACTCGCGCATAAGTCCCGTCTTAATATTATCCAGCCACCACCTCACCGGCGAGGGGCACCACCCAGCGACGGCGAAGACGCACTGCCTGGTGGCCAGGCGAGGCTGCAATTCCTTGTCAAGCCGCCCAGAGCGTGTTTCACAAGCTCGGCGTTGACATCGATCACGGAGATAAAAGACATGCTCAATGTCTGGCACAGGGAGACGCAGGACGATGGCCCACATCGTGCCGATGTAGAGGTTTTCGAACGATACTTGGCCAAGGTTGTGGTTGAGGAGAGAGATATGGACAAGGCTCGCAAACTCGTCACATGGTTGCAGTGGATCGTCGAGGAAGAGGAGGATAGTGAGAGTACGGGGAAGGAGGGGTGGATGGAGGCCTTGAGCTCCATCCAGGGTGCAATACAGGAGGCCATGAGGAGTAGGGGACTTGGGCCGATGGATTTGGGGTAGTGGAAAGAGCCGCTTGCCTCCCTCAATATCCCAATCACCTTGAAGATAATTGCCATATGACCGTACGATGAATGAAACATGATTTTATATTGTGCGACGCCAAAATCCGGGTATCTTCCTGCATCTTACATGGTCTGTTTCTAAAACGGCTTGTAGGTATCTCGAAACGCAAGACTTGAAGAAAACATTTGACTCTCCCGCCCGTCAAAACCCCGTCAAAGAAGATTATACACTACACTAGCCATCATTATTATAGCCGCCAACCCGCGAGCCATGTTCGTCGACGGAGCTGCGCTGAGCATATACACCTAGAGGTAACGACCCCTTGTCAGCCACGTCGATACCACATGATCATCAACGGTATGCGGGCGGATATCCGGGTCCAAAGGGGTGGTAGGACCAAACCGACAGGAATAGGGGCAAGGTCTGGCCACAAGGGGGGGGGGGGGGGCTCACAGTTAACTTCAACGCTCCACCGCATGCAGTCTGCGAGTCGCCGTCGCACCCCAGGTTACACTCGCTGTCGGACAGCTTGGCAGACGCCGCTGACAGACGCTGTGCGCACCAGCATTCCCTGTGTGATGCAGTCAGCCTCCGGACGTCGTTCGAGGTCAGCCTCCCCTTCGTCTCCCGACTCCCACCGGCCTCCCCGAGGTAACCCGCCCCACCCCTTTTCCAGATCATCGCGCCCCCCTCCCCTTTTTATCAACCAAACCACAACCCCAGCCCAGCCCAGCCCAAACCTCCCCCCAAAACAGAAGCCAAAAAGAAAGAAAAACTCACCTCGAAAACTCCAACCCAGCATACTTATACACAGTCCCCCCGCCTCCCCCACCCGCGCAGAAGCCCAGGCAGAGCGGCACCGTCATCTGGCCCGCCAGGACCTCGTCGGCGCCGTCGCCGAGCGCCCGCGCCCCGCCCGCGCCCGACACCGCTGTCGTCTCGTTGTAGCAGCCCGCGTACCGGTACCGGTCCGACACGTCGAGGACCGTCGGCGTGGGCGCGGCGGGGGAGGTCGTCGTGGTCGCGGTGGATGCGGCGGTGGGGCGCGGCGCGGAGAGGAGGAGCAGCAGCAGCAGTAGCGACAGCGATAGCTGGCTGAGGGCTGGGAGGGGGGTGGTTCGGCTGGGTGGCATCTTGTTGTTGTTTTTTTTGGCGGTAGAGCCCCTTCTGGTTTTTCACTGGATTTTTTGTTCGGTGGGGTTGGGTTGGCGGGTGAGGTGTTGTTGCATGTTACGATCCTTGGGGGACGAGGAATGCAGGTTGGGTGCGTCGTTGAGCCCAAGAAGGAGTGGGAAGGTGTTGAGGGACATTGCAGACAGAGGAGCCCAGCTCAGCCCTGCGAGAATGGGGAGTAGTGCTAGTGAGGTTGTATTGAGTGGCGTTCTGGACCGGCCGGAATCCTCCTGCATCAGTGCGCATCTCCGCCGTCGGGTCCTAGTGCTGACTACCGCCCGCCCGGTGGGTAGCGGGTCAAATGGCCACTGGCTGAAAAAGTCAGGGTCCAATTTGCGAAGCTGCATTGGTTAGTGTGATCCTGCAAGTGATATCTGCTTCGGATGGGCTGATGAAGAATCCGAATTATAAATTCGACTCTAAAACAACCATTACTGGCATTGGACGAAACCCCCGGAAGGATTAGGTGTAGATCATGACAGCAAGCATGTTTTCAACTGAACATTTGATATTGCATTAATTGCTATCGCGTATACCACCCAAGCAAGCGAACGTAGCTAAGGGGCGGATTCCTCCTGCAGCTAATCCTGTTCTCCCCAATAGCAAAACCACGAAACGCCGGTTGCGTCCCCCACCTAAAAACCGTATACCAGGATAGAGGGAGAGAGAGAGGGAGGGAGGGACGGAAGGAGATAGCATCATGGTAGTGAGCATGGGTGAGTCTGATAAGAAGTACAGGATCAGGGAAGAATAAAAGACAACACCCGATTATTTACATAGAAGATTAAACAATGTCGTAAGTCTCGAAAGGGACCCCTAGCCCTCAATGCTTGCCCGAATAGGAAAAATTCCAGGGCGTCAAACCTAGTAAATAGGTCGGCTTTCCTCCCATTTGCGGTGCAAGCCAGGCTTCGCTTCGGTCTTCCCGGGCGCCAGATCTACCTCATCTCCGACTCCCTTCACGTCCGGGCCCCACGACACCCTTCCGCTCTTCCGACGCCTCCCGCTGCTCTCAATGGCCGCAGCACTGGTCGGGCCGATCCACTCCCATGCGAGACCGACCTCTCCGTTGCGACCCTCCCGCTGGCCAGTCCGGACGTTGCTGTTCTGCTCCATCACGGCACGCACACGCTGCCAGACGCGATCGCGTTGGGCAAGTGAGTGCATAGACCTCAGGACGTCATCTCTGAGGTTGGGAAGGAAGAGGAAGGCATCGTCGTCGCCGTCCTCAAAGGCCAGCTCCTTCTGCGCCGCCAGGCGCTCAAGCACCAGATCCACCAGTCCCGGAATCTGCGCTGAGGTGGCGCGATGGGCCCGGTAGCGGTTGCGCCCATACAGTGCCGAGAGGAGCGCAAAGATTAGTCCACCAATGCTGAGTCGATGTCGAGCCAGGGCGAGTCTGACCGAGCGTCGGATCGCGCAGGTGAACGGAAGGCGAGCGAGAGAGGTGGACGATAAGCGGGTGGTTGGAAAACCTCCGGTATCTCCGGTTCTATGGGCTCGGCGAGGGGTCTGGTTAGTCCAGGTTGGTCAGAAATTGTGAAACTTGCGCTCGCGTGATGTCCGCCATGAGGAGTCCATGCAGCCGAAAGGAGACGAAGAGGGGGTTATGGACGCAAGGGGAAACTCACGGTTCTTCGACGACGACCTCAACCTCGTCTCTCGCTTTGACTTCTCCAATAGCAGCCAGCCACAGGTCATCGAACTCATCAGCATTCATCCGCTTGCTCCGTCTCTGACTGATGGTTTCCTTGAGCTCCTGTTCACCAATTGCAGGGTTTTCAAGCTGCTGGCCCTCCTCGTTCACAAGCTCTCCACATTCATACTGGGCTCTCCGGTCCCGCAGCTCTTCCACCGCCTTGTCGGCAACCGCCTGGACACGACGGACTTTCTCTCCATCGGGTTCACAAGTCGGCGGGAGCGGCACCAGACCGCGGAGAGCGAGAGGGTGCGGCTTCAATATGAAATCCTGCTCACATCGGACGCTAAAGTCCTCATAGCAGTAGGCATGTGGCGGGCAGGGCTCGCACTGCGGCTCTACCAGAGCGGTTGCCCATTCTGGAAGCTGGACGGTATCTGGTATGATCTGCGTCGCCGGCCTTCCGAGTCCACAATAACCCACGGCAATCTTCTCTTGTCTGTACCAAGCAGCATACGCGCCGAAGAGAGTGATGGCGAGAACCCAAATGGGAGTCGTCAGATTTAGTCTCCGGCTGGGAGCCTGGAGCTTCTGACGCGCAGCGACCGCACGCTGGGGATTTTCGGCCTCCTCTTGTTCAAGTTCCAGTTGTGCCTCTGGCGTGAACTCCTCGCCGGCTTCGACTATTGTGCGATCCGGTGGTGTCTTTGGGGTGCCGAGCCTCGCGACAGGAATTTCAAAAGATCGGGAGAAACCTGACCCGGTTGGCTCCTCAATAGTAGGGCCATCTGTCCGTCGCCGCCCGGCAGACGGAGTCTTCATTCTCACGCCCTCTGGTCCGGTGGTCTTTCTGCGATTGCTCGGGGTCTTAACCGGTGCAGTCGGCGAGCTGCCACTCTGGAAAGGGTTGTCACTGGTAAATACGGCTTCAGTCTCAGGCGTTCGCTTAAAAAACTCGTCTTCCTCTGGCAGCTCCAGCTTGACTGCAGGTGTTGTACGTCGGCTTCGCCTGGCCGACTTTGACCCGTCCGCATCAGTGCCCGTGTCCGTGTCGGAAGCGCCAACGGCCTGGGTGCTCGCAGACCGCGACTGTCGCTTTCGGGCGCTCTGGCGGACAACCGGCAGTGTGGGCTCGTGGTCCGGATCCTCCGACTCCCGCTTGGCTCTGGTACTTTTCCGAGGCGAGCGCGCTCTAGTGGACGACGCTGGCGGCGGCATCAAGTCAAAGTCATCCGTATCCACAGTGCTTTGCGAACCAGCATCGACGATGCCTTTGCTGGTCCTCCTCGCTCTTGCCCGCGCGGCCAAGTATTTTTTGGACTGGGGGACAACCTGCTCGTTGAAGAGATCGATGAGCTGGGGCTTCTTCGCTGTCGCAGGGTATTGGACATTATGCGTGACGAGGATGGAGCGCAATCGTGGAACGGTTAACGACCACGGGTCAAATCCTGTTTGCAGGTAGTCGACGCTCTCGGAGTCGGACATGACTGCGACAGGTCAAGCAGAGCCCAAGATCAAGGCAAAGCTTCTCTCAGAATGAGTGAGAGATATTGAAATGCCTGGCGCGCAGTTGTGGATGGCAGCAAAGGTTGTGCTGCGGACAGGCAATTTGGGGGATCCGAAAAGCTTTATCAACGGCCGGCCCACGTTACTGGCAGCAGCATGTGCGACAAGTTGCTTTTCTCTTGTGTAGGCGGCAACGGTTGGTGGCGATTACCAGCCGTGAATGGATATGGTTCTTGTGCACTACTTGTGCCCTTCCCGGCGATGGATGTGATGCGCTGGTGCCCTGGAAGAAAAGAGGGGGAATCTTCAGTGTTGATTTTATAGCTCAAAGTGATGATGCAAAGAGCTAACTGGTTGTCTGAGGCAACCTGGTTCGAAAAATTACGTATAGTTTGGCCAAGAGACGCTTGCTGCGCCACATTACGGGTCGCGCCACACGGCAGATGACTGCCATTTGGCCCCAACACCAAGATATTGCCACACACAGCGTCTCCATACATATCAGGAGTGTAAGTGAATTTTATTCAAACAAAAAAGCAGATTATTACTTTCTACCTATTACCCTGCGCCATTTTCTTCTTTTTGGCATTTTTTCTTTTCTGGCCTTTTTTTCTTCTTTTTCGCTTTCGTTTTTTTTTTCGTTACTAGGTCCCCAAGTCGAATCGGCTGTGACAAAATGCAGGAGAACGGAGATGTAATGATCGTGAAATGGTTTGACGATTCTCGCTGAAACTGTCGTCGAATAAAAAATTACACAGTAAAGTTGCCGTTTACAATCGCCCTTGCCGTAGATATTCCTCTCCCCTATCCCCTATCCGTTGCCCCTGGCCCCTTACAAGACATCGACCTTCTTGATCTCAGTCCAGTCCTTCTCCGCCTTGGGGACGACCACTATCAGGACGCCGTCCTCCATCCTCGCCACGATGCCCTCCTCATCGACCTCCTCCTTCTCCGCGGACCTAGCCGGCGGCAGCTTCACCTTCCGCTGGAACAGCCCGACCTTCCTCTCGCCCGCCACGAGGCCCGACAGGAACGCCTCATCGCCGGGCCTATAGACGACGCCGCTGATCGCCAGCGACGACTTGGCCGCGTCCCAGCTGACGCCAACGTCCTCCTTCTTCGCCCCCGGCAGCGCCACGTGCACCGTCCACGCCCCAGCCCCGTCAAACACGTCCACCGGCGGCACAAACGTCTCGGCGTCGGCGTCGAACGCGCCCCCCTCGCCGTAACCCTCCTCCTCTTCGTCACGCCGCCCGGCCGCGGCCGCGCGCGCTCGCTCAACCTGCTCGCGCACCTGCTGAGCGAACGGGTGGTTCGAAAAGGCCTGCATCAGGCCGCGGAAATCGAACGGGCTCGCGCCCGCGCCGTCGTTGTAAGCCGGGGGAGGCCCGCGGTGGTGGTGGCCATGACCACGACCACGGCCATGGCAATGGCCATGGCCCCGTCCGTGGAAGCCTCTACCCCGCCCACACCCGCCGCCGCCGCCGCCGGCGGGGCCACCACGGCGGTGGCACCCCCCACGACGATGTCCCCGCCCGAGACTCGGGATCTCCTCCGGCGGGTCCGGGTGCTCGCCGCCGTCGTCGCCGTCGGGAGAGTCGCGCAGCGTGCCGGGCGTGCCCTCCTTCTCGGGGTCGTGCTCGCCGATGCCGCCGCCGCCGCCAGCCCGCGGCGTCGCGGCGTCGCGCATCTCCTCGTCCGCGCTGATGCCGCCGCCGGCGCCGTCGTCATTGTCATTGTCGCTGTCGCTATCGTGGTCGTGGCAGCAGCGCCGTCCCCCGCGGCAGCGGCCCCCGCGGTCGCCCCAGCCCCAGCTCCAGGGGTTGAAGCGGTTGCCCCCGCCTCGGGCGCGGCCCCAGGGCCCGCGCCAGTGTCCGCCGCCGCCGCCGCGACCGCCGCCCCAGAAGCCGTCGGGCCCGCCAAAGGGGAAGCCGGCGGCAAAGTTGGGGCCGAAGCCCTCGGGCGGGCCGGTGTGGTCGACCCCGTGGCCGGTTTGATAGGTGGTGCCGCCAAAGTCCCAGAATGGACCCGGACCGGGGGCGCCGTGGGGGGGGTGGTTCCAAGCCATGATGATACTATGTAGAATGAAATATAGGAGTAGTGAGGTTGGAGTTGGTCGGTCTGAGGGAGTATCTGGTGTGATAGTTGCAACAAAAGAGATGGGAAGACAGGAAAGTGCCCGCCAGGTTTATATAGAAACGTCAACGGCACTCACACCGAGGACTCGACCCAGACTCGCCTCACTTTAGGCATAGGCAAAATGGGGGCAACGTAAGCTACCTACTTGGCTGGCGTATGTCTACCACCAAGCTCGGGGGCAACAAATGCCACCAGCGCTCAAAAGGCCGCTAGGAGATGACGCAGAACTAGTCGTCGTAACTGAAAGCTGCCTATCTAGCCCGGTAGTCGAGCCTCACCTCGCAAGTCCGACTTCGAGACAGGCCATGACCGAAAACACGTACGTTCTACGTCCGCCTGAGCCTTTGCTCCGAAAGTAATCGAACCCATTGGAAGTGGCGTGTGAGCAAAAGATAATGGCACAATAGCAGCCGCCCTCCCAACCACGTAAGCGTGGGCGACTGAATTGTCACAGAATGAATCAAGCATAACCTGGTTGGTATCCGTTGCCACGGTCCACGCGTCCTGCAGATCCACGCGGTTCCAGGTTCGATGTCGGCCGTCGGGCAGCTGCTCACCGAGTTCCGACATCCCCAGCGCTCGGGCCTCAAACCCCCCCCCCGCCCCCCGCCGTGGTCAATCCAGAATCTGGGCGATCATCTCGGGTCCGAGAACAGATCAGCTTGCAACTGCTTGAGTCCGAGTTAGCTATTTCGAACTAACAACGACTTATTCGCCACTATCTATCCATAGAATACTAGACTCCAAATCCAACAACATGTATTTTTATGCAAAGTATACTACTATGCACATACAAATGCATGTTTTATTCAAGCTAACCATACTCAGGCCTGAGACGCAAGTGGCTGTCTCAAAGGCCTCGCTATGCTTCCAAATCCCATTTGTGCTGTACGTTTTTATACTCACATAGGTATACAGATGCGACGGATTGCTTACTTTGAGCTCCATTACATATGGGTAACCGGGAAAGTCGTGTACGCCGATTACAATCGAGATTGCGATGCCGCACAACATGATATCTCCCGCTCCCACCCAGAAATGCTCCCAGACCCCCAACCCCTTCGTCGCCTGAGCCTCACCCGCTCAAAGGCATTCGTACTGCCACTTGCAAACACCGGGGAAAAAACGTAGCAAGCTATATCCTAGAAACAGAACGTGGTAAAAAGGAAACGATGAAAGGGGCATGTATCCCATTAGCTTGGATCCAATATCCTCAGTTGGCTTTTAAGCAGGAATCTCCCGTCGTCGCCAACCTCCAGCCCCGTTCATCTCGCGTCCACGGGCGCGCATATGATGCCCTTCTACTTCGCCTCCAACCTCTTCTCTGCCTCCTCTGCTCGCCTGTTGGCATCGTCCACCTCCTGCTTCAGCTGCTTGATGTACTCGATGGCCAGCTCCACCGTGCTGGCCTTGCTGTTCGGCGCGTTCGCGCCGCCCTCCTTCTTGTCGCTGCCGTCGTATTCAATGTCCTTCCCATCCTTCCCTTCCTTCGCCGGCGGACGCGGTAGCAGCGTTGCGATCTCCTGCAAGGCCGTGTTGATGCGATTCCTCCGACCCTGCTCGGCAATCTTGTGCGACGTTCGCTTCGACGTCAGGTTTGTCGACAGATCGGCCGGGTATGACAGGCCAGGCACGGTGTCACCTTCGAGAAGCCGTCGGTAATTCGATTTCGTTGCCAGGAGGTGCGACGCCGCGTCTTCTGCAGCCGACCCTCCTCCCGGAAGCAAGGGTTTGATACTGGGGGAAATCCTGGGCCGCAGAGCCGGCGAGACATGGACAGAGCTCACACTTCCGCGCTTCTTGCTTCCCCTCGGCGCTAGCTGCGGTGTCCTTCTCCCGTTTATGGACCCGGATCCAGGGGCCAGCAGGGGACTTTGCGTTGCCGAGGCAGTTCCTGATGGCTTGGAGAAGATGGGAGGAGGTAACGGTGGCACCGACGAGCTGTTGACAGAATTTGGATCTGGCGAAATTAGTCCCGGTGTTGCGGCGTCGATCGAAACACGCGGTCCTTTGGGGAAGTTCGCGGATTCGGGGAGCTCAAAGCTCTCGATATGCTCAGACGCGATCGCCTCCTGACTGCTAACCCTGGCCGCAGAAGCCCGATTACTCGGGGAACTCAGCTTCATCAGGGATGCCGGCGTTGCTGGGGACGGCATGCCGGGGAGCTGCACTCCCGGTACATGGTGTTCTGGCCCAACACGTGGAGATGGCCTGGCGGACCTCGGTTTCGGCAGCGGTGGAGGGGGCATCTCCATGCATACGTCGTTCAGGTTCTCGGGAGACACCGAGCTGTTGTTTTCCGAGTCCGTGAGCCTCCCCGCTGACGAGGACGAGGTTGAAATGGCTGGGACGGGTAACTGTTGTGACTGGTCTTGCTGCTGCTCTGCATTCTCGACCAACTCGCTCAGCATCTGGGCATTCAGGACCGGCGTCGTCGTCGTCTTCCGCCGCTGGGGCTTCGTTATCGGTGACTGGCGGACCCCTGCCTTCCCCCTCTTCGCCGCGCCTTTTCTCGTTTTCTTGACGGTCTCAGCTGGCGTTAGGCCCAGTACGGGGGTCTTCCTCGATTCCTGGTCCATGCTGCTGTTGATGTCCCGCGGGGAACTCATGCTCGCCGGGCCGAGCCTACTATCGAATGCCGCCATGGGGTCATTTTGTGCGTGCAATGCAGGCGAAGTAAGGGGACTGAAATAGGCCCCCGGTACGGTGAAATGACTATCAATAGAGAAGGGGGTATCGAGCGGGGTCACCGCAGGCGAGACTAGAGGCGTGAATGACATCTGTGACAATCTATCAGCATTCGCGGCAGCAGTGACAGCCAAAAACTGGCAGAACCAACCTCATGCTGCTCTTTCACCCCATGATACCGATAGTCTATAGGGTGTTGCTGCGGCGTGTGGTCGTTCTGCGCGGTCTGGGCATAGTAATGGCTGTTTCCCGCCTGCAGTTCAAGGCTCTGGGGTGTTGGAGGGACCATGCGACTTTGTTGCTGGGCCATGAAGGCAACCTGCTGCTCTTCCAGATGCCGCTGCTGGTGTTGCAGCTTCTGTTGCTGCAGGAAGTGGATCTGGGCGTCGATGCTGTCGACGATGGCCTCGTTGGGAGACGGTGGCGGCATCATTGTCGTCGGGATTGACTGATAGGACGGGGCAGTGGTCATTGGCGACATCTGGTGATGAAGCGCACCGGGGTCGGCCCTCGATATGACATCGGGCGTGTCTGTGCCGGTCATCGGGACATCTGACGGCTGCCGATGCGGGCCCTGCATTGCCTGGGTGCCATTGGCATTGTGGAAATCCTGGTATTCAAACTGGATGCCGTCGGTCAAATTGGCCATGCCGCACATGTTGAGGAACTGTTCGAAGTCATCTTCGGGGCCGGACTGCATTGCATCGCCCCAACCCACGGAATCCATTATGGGTTATGGCTGGACAGAGTAGATGGCCCAGATAGAAGTCGGCACCGCCGGCCTAGAGAATACCACCCAGCTCAGGCTTTGGTTTCGGCGGGAAGTGTCTTGGGGTTTGACCGGTCGCCCAGAGGTCTGTCTGGCCTGTCTGGCCTGTATGGTCTGTCTGGCCAAGTGGGTTTCGAATTCGATTTGACACCCGGGAATGCGCGACTTCGGGAAAGTTGCGCCTGCGCTCACCACTTCTCTAGTGGGGTCGGCCAAGTGCCGTCGAAGATAGCCGGAGTCACAGAGCTCGCTCAATGCCAAAGATCACACACCCATATAGAGTGTACTGAGGGCGTAACACTGCTCACTTCTCTTCCATCGTCAATAGAGGATTTGGGAAGCAATAATTAGGGGTCATGACACTGGCCAAAGTCAAGCCGGAGAGAACCCTGAAAAAAGCCTGGACTCCTCTTCTGTTGGAGGGGGGGGGGGGGAGTGGGGACCGTGGGGGCAGAAACTTTAGGAAAATTGGTTACTTAATGAGATGCATCATAATGGATGGTCAGTGCAGGCAGTGCCGACTGTAAGAGCTGGGAGGCTGGAATGAAAAATTTCGTCCCCATAATCCGACGTTAATGACTAGGTACACCACCGAGGCTATAGGATGGCCGGCGCGAGGCGGCTTCGAACCGTCTCCATGGCCTGCCCTATGTAGGCTAGACTAGGTAGCTAGCCACCTCGAGTCCTGACTCCTGGCACACCCACCCACTCTCAAAAAGCACATGCGGCAAGCAGGTAGATTTCTCCCACTGGTCGACCGACCGATCAGCTCAAGCCGCAGGATGAACGCGGTCAAGCGGTAGGTAATTATATACCCCATACGGGAACAGCAAAAGCTTGCGCGCGTGTGGCGCATTGCATCCCGCGACGAATATCGAAGGAAGAAAAATCCCACACGTTCTCGCTTCGGCGGCTTGGAGGATTCGATTGTGGGGTTGCCAAGTACCACAGCCTATCATCCGCTTGGCTGTTCGGTATTGGCTAACCTTCCAAGACTATTTGCGCCGCGCTTCCCCCCACTTAGCCCGCTGACGAATAACTAAGCTTTATTTTCACATCAGGGGACATCGTGGCCCGCCCAAGCCCCGAGACCGCGAGCTAATGACCAACTTCACTTCGGAATAACTTCCCCAACATCCATCACCTATCCATCACAGCGAGCAGGACTTCTTCCGGTGGACTCTGGGAGTCCAAGTTCCCGTTAAACGAGATAAATAAAATATTATCCATTGTATTAGGGTTTTGCCTTGACTACGAAGTATTGAAGAGATACCTACTGGTCCTAAGTAGTCCTGCGATGTCGCATGGGCGGGTGTCTGATAGATATTCCTTTCGTACTACGTCTGTACTTAATCAGCATTTCGGATACCGTGCCGGCACTTGCAATTGGAGCATTCTCACAAAAGGGAAGAATGAAAAACCATCAATACTCTCTAGTCGATAAAAGCTGTAACAATAATCCCATGTATCCCCTTTCCTCACCCCGAGAATCATGCAGAGAAGCTCTAGACCAGGTCGAAGTGGGTGACCGATTGACCCCATGTGGGAAGTTCCTCGTCAGATGCAGGCACTTGGACGCTGCAGCTGGCAATCTGGATATGGAGACTGACAACATCGGCCGTATCAAAAACCGTCCCGTTCGCCCCGATGATGGTAAAATGAAGATTCCGCTGAAGGTATGGCTTCACAACTGCGGCCTCGAGATCGGGCAGAGCACCGGCCATTGCCAGCTTCACAAGGGCAGCCGTCAAGGGAACAGTTCCTGCCGTGTCGGGATCATTCATGACCATCCCCTGCTGGACCGGGGATGCGAAGACACTCAATGTGCCGACAAGGGTCGACGCATGTGTCCAAGATTTCGGTTCCTCGGGCACGCTGCCGAGGAAAAAGTGAATGAAGAATGTCCCGTCCAACGACTGCTTCTTGACCCGAATATTCGCGATCCATTCGCGGTACTTGTTGTGAACGATGACTGACCTGCTCGGTATGGAGGTTGTAGATGCTTCCCGAACCGCGCCTGGGCCGACTTCCACGTTCCTGACATTTGCAAGCCCGACAAGACTCCGTGGGCTTGACGAGCCGTAGAGCCGATTTATTGCCAATTTGACACTGGATTGGGCCCGGCTGTCGATATTCTGTCCTCCCAGGGAGAGGCCAGCAACTTCAGCATAGGTGTACCCAAACGCAAGTGGGTCGCGGACCATGTCGGAGTTCCAAAAAACACCGTCGGGACTGGCATAAAAAGGCGTCAATGGCGTTGTCGAGGTTTGGATCTGGCCTACCGAGCTTGTGAACGTGGCCGAACGTGCCACCTCAGGGGTTACCCATGAATCGGGATAGAGAGCTTGCCAAATGGTCAGGATACGGTCAACCATAGCATGGTGCAGGTAAAACAAAGGATCGAATCCGGAAAATGGGACTACAGCCATATGGCCCTTTGTCCCACCCGCCAGACTATGGACTGTGTCGTGGAGTGACTCGAGTGAATCGAACGCAAACGCAGGGGAGCCGGGACCGCGGCCTTCGTTGCTGAAAGTCGTGTAGTTATGATAGTTTGAAAACAGCGTGTAAAGCCGTTGTTGAACGGAGGCAAGGTTCTGATCCAGACCCATGGCAACCAGCGTATTGTTGGATTCCGCCGATTCATCGTCGTCAGTTGGGGCTCTCATTGTGGATTTCCAAACATTCCACTTCGGCCAATCGTAAGGTTAGTGAGCTTGGGAGAATATCTGGGATATTCTAACGCACTGGAGAAAAGGGGAACCCTTTAGTGTCCAACGGGTGGAAATTGTAGGCGAAGAGCGGATTCGAGATCTGCTGCACTCCATTGGGGCCATCAGCGTCAATGACTTGGCTTTCCCAGGTGCTTCTGGGAAGGATGCTCTCTCCCTCGGGGGGGTCTGCTGCCCAATCCCAGTACGGGATGCGGAAAGCGGCGGCGGCAGCTTGATATCGATTCTTGTCTTCTTCGTTCGACCAGAGCGAGGCAATTTCCTGGATCACATCGTAGAGTACATTCTGTTTAAACCTGTCAACCGTACTGTCCACGTAGCTTGGGGAGAGATGACCCTTGGTATTCCGTGCCAGGGGCCCCAGCGTACCTCGAACAGGGCAAGGTAAGGGCGGTGCCAGGTCGGGAACAGAATGGAGATATGATTGCAGTAGCCAGAATTCTGGTTGCCCCGAGTGGGTTGTACGCCACCCCAGGGTTGGTACGGCGCTCCATGTATTGCTGATTTCATTAGATGCTGTGGGTAGGAGGGACATGGGCACTCATCCGGGCACAAATTTGGGACAATCATACCTGAGATCTGGTACCATGACAGTGGCTCGGATTGGTCCCAGAACTGCATCATACTGAGCCCCAGGATGTAGAGAGTCCACTGCTCCTTATTCTTCTCAAGTTGTCGGATCTCTTGCCTGACGGGCCACGTCCCATTCACGCTCGGCAAGCTACGCACGACGAATGGTACTTCCTGGCGTTTAACGAGTCGGCTCACGTCAAATCCATAGTCGTATGCCAAATGTTGACAACTGGCCAAGCTGTGCAAAAATAGGCAGGCGGCGAGGACAGAGAGACGGCCGCGCGCCATATTGGTGCTCGACTGTTGAGCAGTTCTAGAAGGCCAGGGAACCGGTATCGAAGGGGCTATTGATAGTTCACAGTGGAAGACAGGAGAGAAGCCCAGCCTAGACAGAGGGAAGGATAAAGCGACAGAGGGTGGGGAGAAAAAGAGAGAAGCAGAGAGAGGCAGAGAGAGGAGAGAGAGACCTGGACATAGAGCCCCCGGGACTTAACGATGGGATGATAGAATATGGGGGGCAAGAAAATGGCAATAACAGATAAAAATAGACGAACGGCGTATGTAAAGCGGGCATGGAATAGACTATTGGGGAGCAGAACCCTGTCGGGCTAACAATCTGATGATTCCATCTTAACCTTATTAGGTACCTACCTACCTGCCCATCTAGGTAGCTCCTCGGACACCTTAGAAGGTGCGGTGGTCATGGATGTTTGCAGATGGTGTTCGTGGTAATGGGGAGTCGTCCCTTCCGGAACCTAGGGCACGGGGGGCAAGGTCTACCGCAGCAAGATGGAAGCTTCCTTCTCACCTGCGCCAAACTCTCAGCATTCTCGTACAACTACGACCACCGACCACCGAGCCACCAATGGCTTCGCTGACAGCAATATGCCGGCAGGTTTGCTGCGGCTGGCCTGCCTTGAAATGCCGCGAGGGCCATGGTCTTTGAAAAATTATATCCCAAAAAAGAAAAAAGGGGTGGAACCCACAGGCGGTAGACTGCATGTTATACCTTCCTACGGCTGATAGACTCGGGCCATGACGCGGTGTAATTACTTCGTGTCCCAACATGCTGCCCGGCACCTTGTTGATGTACCCAGTCCCTTGACTGCCCGTGTTGAACTCTGCAAACAGTTTCTCGACACAGCAGCGGCAAGCAGCGGCAAGCAGCCCCGGTTGTAAAGCAAACCAAATCTCATTGATTGAATTCGTAAAAGAACATGACCGTCTACGACACCGAAACCAAGCCGTTCTGAGGCGGCTTGCCCAACATCAGCTTCCCCTTCCGAACGCCTTCCAATGCCTTTTGCCTCAAGGGCCCCTTCCGTACAGCGTCCTTGGGGTCCAGCCGATATTTCAGCTTGACCCCCATCGCTGCTAGTTCTACATCCAGGAACTTGAGTGCCCCCGGAACAACGACGGTGGTAGTGTTGTCTCCCCCAATCCATTGGTGGCCCTGTCCGTCCTCCCATATCTCACCGTCCAACTTGGTCAGGTCCAGATCCTCGATCTGGTCAATGCGCATCGCACAATTTCGGCAACGGACAGCGCTGATGGCCTTCCGCTTCCCGATGAAGGGAGACACTGTGGGCTGGACGGACAAGAACGACCCACATGATCGGCAGATCCAGGACCGAGAATAATCCGAGCAGTTGAGAAGTCGGTCCTGGAGGAGGAAAGCGGTTCCGTGCGCGAGGAGGGCGTCCCTCTCCATCTCTCCCACCCGAATACCACCGCCCTTCTTCCTCCCCTTGATGGGCTGGCCCGTCGTGGGGACGACCGGACCAGTCGTGCGCACCTGGTACTTGTCGTTCACCATGTGCCGGAGACGCTGGTAATAGACGACGCCGAGGTAAATATCGACGGCGAATTCCTCGCCGGTGATGCCAGAGTACATGGGCTCGTTGCCGTGATAGTTGTATCCGGCCTTCATCAGCTGATGGCCAAAGTAATCTCCTGCCGTGTTCTCCTCGTCGAATTTGAACGGTGTCGAGTCTTGAGCAAGGCCGTGAAGAGCACCCGCCTTTCCGGCTAGAGACTCGACAAACATGCCGATCGTCATTCGCGAAGGGAACGCGTGCGGGTTGATGATGATATCTGGCTGGATGCCGGATTCTGAAAAGGGGAGATCGATGGCTGGCCATTTTTGAGAACACACGCCCTTCTGCCCGTGCCTCGAAGAGAACTTGTCGCCGATGACTGGTGCTCGAGGGATACGGAGCTTGATCGAGATCGTCTGGGCCGGTTCGTTCCCGTTCTCGTTTCCGATGAGACGCACCTCCTCGATGAACGCGACTTCGGAGTCTTTGTACTTCTCAAAGTGATTTGCGCCGTCTCGGTTGACTAGCTGCCCGCTATAATCAGCCGAGACGGTATGCCACGCGCAGAGAACATCGCCCTCCTGAACCATGCGGCCCACGTATGGTAGGCCATCTTCGTCGAGCATCTGCTGCGTCGATGCCCGAATGGCGCTGCCTGGAGCGAAGCCAAAGAGCTTTGTGATGTTCTTGACCGAACGGCCCCTCGACTCGTCCCTCAAAGTTACCTGCTTGGTCTTGTAGATTGTGCCGTAGCCAAAGCCACGCTCGTGTGCCGACTTGTTGATAATCATAGCATCGTCCATGTCATACCCAGTGTAAGCAATGACGGCAACGACGGCATTTGTACCGTTCGGGAAGTTGTCGAAGCCGTAGGCGTTGTGCAATGGCGGTCGAACGATAGGCGTCTGCCCGGTCTGCAAGAGGTATGACTTGTTGTCCGTCCTGTAACGCATGGAAGTGCCCGGAGTGCCCATCGTCTGTTTACCCATCTGGCACTGGTACATGTTTCGGGGGGATTGGTTGAAGTCGGAAAAGGGGGTCATATTCGCAAGGATGGACAGGATATTGGTAGGATCAAACTCCACATGGCTCGACTCGCTGGGAACGGCCTCGGCATCAGTAACTGCAATCGACATGTAAGGCTGTTCGAGAGGCCCGACGAAGTCTTCCTGTCCCAGAGCGAGGTACTTGACGGGCCGGACCATCCGGGCAGGCTGAGAAGACATGTATATACCAGGGTATGAACCGCCATTAGAAGATGGGACAAGCCCGATCTCCAGATGTAGCGGTACCCCTCGATTCCCCTGAACTTTGTAGTGCCGGAAGGTATCTGCAATCCTTCGCGATTCGTCTGGTGTGCACCAGCCGATGATCTTGCCGTCAAGCATTACCACAACGCTCTCGTCCGTTGCAGCCGAGGAGATGTCTACCACACCAAGCTCGACGGCCAATCGAGGAATCTCCGACACGTCAACAGCTTCGGTCATGATCTTGCACTTGTGGGAGAGATGGTTTAGAAGACCGCATGGAGCACCGTCTGGAGTGTGGACTGGGCATAGGAATCCCCAAGACTCGGGAAGGAGCTTTCGGACGGTGGTGGTCTTGAGCTGGGCGAAGAAGCTACCTCGATGAACTGCCCGGAAGTGGCTGATAAATCGTAGGAAGTTGAGCTTCTCTGCAACAACGGTGAAGCCCGAAACCTGCTGCAGGTCTAGGCCAGACGGGCTCAGGAGATTACCGGTGGAGAGGAAGTACTCCAAGGCGTTGCCGAGGTTTTCGTTTGTCTTTCGGAATATGGCTATTGGGAAGTCCCGTGCAAAATTTGGCGACGTGAACGATACGGTGGGGTTTCTCCTGAAGTAATCCCGCAGAGAAAGTCTGAGCCCGACCGACAGCAGTTCTTCGACTCGCTCCTTCAGTATCATGCCGTACAAGAAGCCACCGAGGAGGATCTCTTGATTTTGAACGGCGTCGGGATTGTCAACGGCGCAGTCACCGGCGGCCAGGGCGTAGAGCTTCCGCGTCATAAACAAGAGCATCTTGAACTTGTCCGTGTTCTGTTCTTCCGTGACATCCACGCATCCAAGGTGGACGAGCACAACCTTCCGCAGAAACTCGGTGCCGGCTTCGTAATGGGACATGGTATCAGGAACGCCCAAGACGACCCTGAACTTCTCCCCAAGGTATGCTCTGGTCTGCGTCTTGCTGTAAAGGGAATATACTTTGTAAGTCCGCAACAGCAGTTCCACACGATCTGTGAGGAACGTGTTTTCGATTCCCCTCGAGGTCGGGGGCCCAACCAGGCCCTCAAATATCTCTCGGTCGTTCGTCTCCACGAGTGCCTTTAGGATCATCATCAGGGGAACAAGATATTCGTTCTTCCTCCATGAGAACCGGAAGGTGACATTGCCATCGCTGAGATAATGAAGGACATTGGTTTGGGAGGTCTCATCCGGCCGCACTGATCGCACTATGATACCGTACGGCGTGTACGTGGGCCCGCGATTCGTGAAACTGGGCCTGTTGATTGCCATGGGAAAGTTCCGCCGGTTGACCAACAAGAGACGGATGATCTTTTCGATACCGTTTACGATGAAGTATCCACCAAGTTCTTCGGATTCTTCCTTCCTTTGCACGAGCTGGGCGGGAGAGTTGTTCTCCAAATGACATCTGTTTGACTGCATAATGTGTTAGACGACGAACGAAGACGAGAATCGTCAAAATCGAGCGGCATGCGCACCTTGAGCATAATGGGCATCTGTCCGATCTCCCGGACGAATTCCTTGGGTTCGTCGCCATTGATACGGTACTCAAACGTGGCCGTCAGCTTCCCCCGATACGTGGCATGTCGCTCTCGGCACTCCGCTGGGAGGACTTCGCGCTTCTTGGCGAACTTGTTTGAGGGTGGTAGCTGAGACTTCTGGAGAGATACACCCTTGCACCGGATCGTCAACTTGTTCTTCCCCGTAGGCGCCGCTCTCTCGTCCCCGTCGAGGAATGTTTTGGTGCCAATTTCGGCCAGGCCGAGATCTATCAGCCCCGGCCGGCCATCGTCCCTAAAGAGAACATTGAAGGACTCGATATGAGGGTCAACCGCGAGTTGCAGGGCGGGATACGCCGTATGGTCGGTAGGAGGGTGTCGAAAGAGCTTCTCACGGCGGAGAAGGTTGAATTCGTGGTCCCAAGACGTGCTTGTACCCTTCTTTGTACCCTTCGGAGCCATCTTGGAGTAGACTTTAGTAGTGAAGATCGGGTAAGAGGCTTCGAATCTGTCGAACAGCGACGAGGTTGATGCTCAGGCGCGGGGTGTTAAGAACCGGCTGCCAGTGTCTTGGTTCAGAATTCAGAAAATCTTGAAACCATTACCGAAAACGAGTCGAGCGGGCTACCCCAGCCTCAAAGTCTGCCTGAGAACCTGGAGCCGCCAATTCCTCTGGTGAAAGAGGCCGGTTATCTCTTGTTGATGGACAAGTTGGATCTGGACATCCAAAAAATTTATTGACCATTTAGCTTATCGGAGGTGCGATAAGAAACATCGACGGACGCAGACCAGGCGGGCGTGGGGCTAGTGCAGCTAACCCGAACCCTAACCCTGTTGAAGCAGCAACAATCCATCTAAACCCCCAGCTGTTGAAGTCCAGGTCGGGTCTTAATATGGGTAGGTAGGGTTAGTAGGGTTAAGCACGGTTCCTTCTTTCTACTTCAGGTGGCACAGCAACAGGCATCTCTATTTGACAACTCTAGGTACCTGTGGATTGTACTGGATGTTAGACTTTGGGTTCTTGTCTTACTTTTGAATTTTTCTTGGTTCTTTCGTTTCTTTTTCGCTCAAGGTACCCTTTAGAGTACATAAGTTGGAGGTGGGGTTGTTAGGGAGAGGTATCCAATCGAGCCCCCTCTCTGCAGCCCGAAAATGAGACCCCTCCAACATCAGCTCTCCACCACTCCTTCTTGCAGCAGCGCCTCCTTCACTGGCAACCTGGTCTAGATACAGGTGGTGGGAATAGGTACAGGATGCGCATCATCCAGTAAAATCAACCGATACATCGACACCTAAACATCTGCCTGTCCCTAGACCACCCAGACCAACCAGCCTTTGAACTAACTCAAGGCAGCGAGCGCGACCTGTAGTGGCAGCCCAACCTACCCACACTGCATCCATCATCTGCATCATACATCATCCATGCTGCCGGTTTGTTGCCGATTGCACCAAGTTGGGGAGGTAGCCTGCGGTCCACTTCTGGCTGTCCTACCTTCCAACAATCTCCACAACGTATCTGGTCTCTGCCAGTACCGTCTTTGGGTGTCTCCAAATTTAACCCCCATTCGAACCGCTCACCCCCTCACAGCGCTTGACATTCATTCCAATTCAAACCCTCGCCGCCCAGCACTACTCCCTCTCTGCCGTGCCAACAAGCTCCTGCTATTGGCCCTTGATCCTCAATAAGCGGCGATCGTCCAATCAGCCCGAGCTTTGACCCCGCGGCTCCTGGGCTCGACCTGACCTCTGTTCCCGGATCCAAGATCCAAGACCTGGCTAGAGGTGAGCATTGAGGTGCAATATCAAAAGACCCTCAGTTGTCAAGGGGCCTAGTCCTGAAAAGATTCGAGACGCGGATCCAGCCTAGGGCGGATAGGTAGATCACAAACAGACCCGCTCCAGCACATCTCCAGCAGCACGACGCCTTCGCTTCGACCGGGCAATCCCTGCAAGCACTCAGCACCCACAGCGGCAACCTCGCACAACCGCCCGCGCCGTCACTCTCCAAATCTCAGCACTGACGTCGAACCCCCATTCCATCTGGGCCCCCCATCCCATCACCCGAAGTCACGGGCACGCTCTCGTTTCCTTGTGTCGAAACTGTCGATGATCATTTCGTTCCACCTTCGTATCTCGTGGCCCTCGTGGCTCTCCTGGCACTGCTAAGCTCTGACCTCCAAACCCCGGCCAAACGATCGAAAAAACCCTAGTCCTAGTCGGCTGCCTCTGCAAGGTTGACCCTCGTTATTCCCACAAGAGAGAGGCACGGCCCAACCTTTGTGTAAGTTCACCCACTCCCACAGAAGCCCGCGCTCCCCGTCCTTTCGCGGTGTGTTGCCCCGCGGCTACGACTCTAAAACGGCCGACATCGTTCTGTGCAGCTGTCCCTTCGGGTACGCCGGTCATACGAGACGTTTGATTCATAAATTTGTACGGGCAGAGATAGTCTGAGCGCATAGCATTTTAACGTCGCCCGGCTTAGGACCCCACCTGTCTCGTCCTACACCGTCTTTCTTGCTCTCTCTGTCGACCCAAACCCTGCGCGACTTTCCTTCCCTGGCCTCTGGGCCCCCTGAAAGCTTCACACCTGCAAACGCTGCCCCCAGCTGCCGGAATCAAAAAGGGAATAGCCATGGCAGGACTGTTTCGGAAAGTGTATGACTGGTTGCTTCGGACATTCTGGTGAGTACGCTAGGGACTTGCTGCTCGCAGCTGACCCATGTTGCTGGCCTGCCCTGTATGTACTGACCTGGAGCGAAAGGGCGACGGAGATGGACGTGACCATGATTGGGCTCCAGAATGCCGGCAAGACGTCCCTCTTGCGCGTGCTCTCGGTAAGCAAATCTTCGCCGACGCCCCTCGAATTACCCCCAGCTGACTTGTATGTCTGTTCTTAGGGAGGCGAGTTCACGATCGAGTAAGCGACTTCCCCCCTTCGGACCTCCGTCGTTGCGGATGCTCTCCAGCCCCCACCACGAGATAGAAGATGTACATGGATACACCTCGCTAACTCGCGTGCTTCGGTAGCTCCATCCCAACCGTCGGGTTCAATATGAAGCGGGTACAACGAGGGCATGTGACCCTGAAGTGCTGGGATTTGGGTGGCCAGCCTCGCTTTCGGCCGATGTGGGAGCGGTATTGCCGAGGAGTCAATGCGATCGTCTTCATCATTGATATCGCAGACATGGCTGTCCTCCCAGCCGCCCGAGAGGAGCTCCATTCCCTGATGAGCCACCCGACCCTTGAAGGCATCCCTCTTCTCGTTCTGGGGAACAAGTCAGACCTTCCTGACAAACTGAGCGTCGACGAGCTGATTGATACGATGGACCTCAAGAATATCAGCCACAGAGAAGTGTCCTGTTACGGCATCAGTGCCAAGGAAGAGACCAATTTGGATGCCGTCATCCAATGGTTGATGAAGTTTGCCAACAGGTGAAGCTGGCGGTCTTGTTTTGGTTCCTTGCGGTAGATGCGTGTTCCTCGACTCGGCAGTATTTTGGTTAAGCAGTCCCAAGGGCAAAGTGTCGAGATGAGCACCGCGAGCCTCTTTCGACGATTTGACGGCGATGTGCCACCTTCCAATGTTAAAAAAGACGGATGAACTTCTGGCCGGCGACGACCATATATAATCAACCTCTCGCGAGCTATCATCAGGTGGATGGAAACACCTGCGACACCGTTAGCATGTCCCAAAGCCCTCGGGGGGGGGGGGGGGGGGGGGGGGGCGGGGGGGCGGGGCGGCGCGGGGGGGGGGGGGGGGGGGCGCCGCGGCGGGGGGGGGGGGGCGCGGG